GCAGGTGGCTCAGGACAGTTCCTTATGGCAGTCTATGGTGGAGCCCTATGTTCGGAAATGGACGGATAATGTCTGATATGACGCCAATATTAAATTGCCAATAATTGTCTGTGGAAAAGTTGAAGATGTACAGCACCCATTGATGGAATGTGATAGGAACCGAAGGGAAACATTTTTAAAAACATTTAATATTAATAAATATGATGTGGGGATTGTTCAGAGCATAATGCATGCTCCCTACTACCAAAATTGCTTTGTGCTTAAGTGAATTCACTTATATTTATGACTAAACAATACTACTTACTAATTAGTAACTTATTATATTTAAACATAATTATAATAGTAGATAACTTGTTTAGACTTTATGGGATTGACATGTTATGAAAACAAAAATCCCAAATTAAACGTAGATTAAAAAAAAAAAAGTTATGACATATTATTATTTATTTATATTTAATTATAATACCTCTGTTAAATCCTATTATCTAATTAATATATTTATATATAATAAATATATACATAAGTATAAATAAATATATGTACCTTACAATGTGCAAACGACATTGCAAGTGACACTTAGTGCGACGTCGCTGTGACGTCCCAACACGTTTTAGCATTTAACACGACGCCTATAATTGTACTAATGACATTCAAGTAGTGGTTTTATTGAAATAAATGTCCATTTATTTGTATATTTGTTTGTGTATTGATTAGTTATTCATATTTGGCGTATTAACAAGTGTTTGTGCACTCTACCTGCCCGCTAACGACATGCTCTCCAACTGTATTGGGTTGACTGGAAGAGATCTCTGTCAGAGAGTCCATCCTTGCTTACATTTATAAATGCATTAACAATGTAATGTTACAAGTGCAATAAAGAATGTTGCAATCACCGGTGGGGACATTTTTTTTTTATACAACTTAGAATGGCAAACAAGCTGACGGCCCACCTGATGGAAAGTGGTAACCATCGCCTATAGACATGAGCAGTACCATGGACATAACAGAGTATACTGTTTCACCCATGATACTCCCCATGCGTTGCTATTCCTGAGGACTCAGGTGTTATTCCTCTGTACCCAATAAATTCACGCCATATCCCACCCTTCAAATCGAAACACAGCCATGCAAACACAACTGCTTCACGGTTCAAACACGAATGGGACAAATATGTTCCATAGAGATTTTTATCAAAAAGAGTTCAGTAGTTTAGTATTAAAATAACAATTGAAGTCGGTTGTAAAGTATTTCAAATTGGCTTTATCTTATCTGATGTAATCTGTCTATCTTAATAAATGATTTGCTTACCACCTTACCTCATTGTTAGTATAACTCATATGTCCTCATATATAACGCACACAGCCAGACAGACGCTCTCGAGACGAAAATTGTTTGGAAAATAAATATTTTTGTTTTTAACTGACTTCCGAAATAAGGTTTTTATTTATGCAACTTAGAATGGCAAACCAGCTGACGGCCCACCTGATGGAAAGTGGTAACCGTCGCCTATAGACATGAGCAGTACCATGGACATAACAGAGTATATCATGGTTAATTCTTGATGAATTCATCATGATGGGCTAACTGGTGCTCCGCCAGCGTATCCCGTTAGCGCAGGCCATTCATACCATTTTCACCCATCAAAAAAAATCGTCCATTAAAAACAAAACTATTTTAATAAACTAACAGTCGTTAGTTATCGTCGGTTTGAAGTTCGCCGCGTTAAAGGCACACGCGAAACATACCTAATGTTTATTTTTTGTTTGTATGGGCGTGCCAAATGCTATGGAACGAAGTCCACTTCTGATATGTTCGCGTAATGACGCGTCTAATGCCGCCCTAGACTATCGCCAGTCCAACACTCTTTACCCGTGATACAGTTTTTTTTTAATGAATGATAATGGAATGGTAACCCTGCCTACACTATCGGTATACGCTGGCTAGGCACCAGTGAAGAATGAAAGCAGGTCAGTTTGCCCATCGTGACGAATTCCTCTCGAATTAACCACGATGGTTTCCAGGGGGAACCGCGTGGAGGTCGACCCGATATTGTGTATTGCAATAGGTCCGGTAAAACCCATTACTAACAATCTCTTTCCCCCCAGTTGGGACGTATTGGGGGTCATGTTGGATTATTGGACGATAGTATAGTACCGGCATAACGTAATGTTTTTACTATAATTAGAAATTGACGCAGGATTTTTGTAGTTGAATGCATTTTTTGTCTAGCTCTATGATTTTTATTATTATTACGTCCACCGTTAACTGTCCACTGCTGGACAGGGCTCCCTATATTTACGTTTGTCTAGTGGTTGCCACACTTGGCAAGCGGGTTGGTAATCGTAGTTAGGCTTTGGTGATGTTTTAAGACGGACGCTGCTGTCCATCCCTCGACTTTTATGTAGTTCCCTTAGCCGCCTCTTACGACACCCACTAGAAAGAAAGGGGTGGCCCATTCTATGCCGGGACCACACGGAAATAAAATTTAGCTAGCTCAATAATAATCAGTTTATGTATTAATAGTTGTAGCACTTTAGCTGCCCGCCAACGAAATGCTTTCTTACTGTACTGGGTTGACTGGAAGAGATCTCTGTCAGAGATAAGTCCGCCCTTGCTCACAACATTTATAAATACATTTTTTTTTATACAACTTAGAATGGCAAACAAGCTGACGGTCCACCTTATGGAAAGTGGTAACCGTCGCCTATAGACATACGGCAGTACCGTGGACATAACAGAGTATACTGTTTCGCTCATGATACCCCCCATGCGTTGTCATTCCTAAGGACTCAGGTGTTATTCCTCTGTGCCCAGTAAATACACGCCATATCCCACCCTTCAAACCGAAACACAGCCATGCAAACACGAATGGGAAAGAGGTACCCAAGTAATCGACTTTTGTACAAAGTCTCCCCCTTTATACATATAAAGGGGGAGACTTAGTGTAAGTTACATAACTTACACTAACTTACTAACTTACTTTACCTGTTATGGGTAAAAAAATAAATATACTCACGACTATAATACCTAATTGGGTGCTCAGTGCGACAAATGTCTAATGTTGCCACCGTGATGAACGTAACACCTCAGCATGCCCACATTTTGCCGAGCCTCTTGGAATCTAACGCGGCGGGGGCGAGCCTACCTCGGTCCCTCGGATTAATTTGGTTTCTTAACTATTTTTTCAACCGTTTTCAAAAAGAAGGTATTTCTCAATTTAGTTGTTTTATGTTTGTTACCGTTAGTTGTAAACCGGTTTGGAAAATTCGTTTTTTTATCTAAAGAGTGTATATACATTACAGATTGGTCCCATAGAAATTTTATGAAAATCGGTTTAGTAGTTTAGTTTTGAAACCGAAATAACTAGTTTTGCCATAAATAAAGTTTTTTTTGGAACACTGTCTTAATTATTTCAGTTTACCAGAGGGAGACTTTGTACAAAAGTCGATTGCTTGGGCACCTATCTCTTATTCGTGTTTCTTCCGTGAAGTAGTTATGTTTGCATGGCTGTGTTTCGGTTTGAAGGATGAGTGGGATATGGCAGTGAATTTACTGGGTACAGAGGAATAATAGGAGTCTCAGGAATGGCAACGCGTGGGCGGTAACATGGGAGAAACAGTATACTGTTTTGTCCATGGTATTGCTGATGTCTATAGGCGACGGTTACCACTTTCCATCAGGTGGGTCGTCAGCTTGTTTGCTATTCTAAGTTGCATAAAAAAAGTTTAATCGTTATAAAGAAAAAATTACATTTGCCCTTTTGTAATGCTAAGCTACAGTGACTGTTTACCATCAGACGGGCTGTATGCTTGTTTGCCATTTTAGTGGTGTAAAAAAAATGACAAATTTCTCGGAAGCAAATAGTGTTCTGGACAAATGTTACCAAATTGGTTACACATTGATTTGCGCAATTATTCGAGCCGTCGATTCGGAAAACTGCCTCTTTAGATAATGCCTGTCTATCCTGTAATTTTCATTTAAACGCCTGCATGTTGCGTGGGTGTCGCGTGTACGACGTGGAGACGACCAGCGCTGTATACACGAGGCGGAAATATTTAATATAGTTGTGTGACAATACAATATAAATGAAAGTGTAAATAATTCTTTATTGACCCGAGTATAAGAAAGTCTATTTATTCAGTTTATTTTAATTTTATTCATATTTCTCTTTTTTTTTTTCTTTTAATATTTTTATTAAGGTATTTCACGACTGACTCTTGGCCTCAATAAAATATCAATAATATGTTTTGCTCTTTAGAGCAAAACAGTAAACTGAGTTGTGATCATTTTATGTTACTATGAAACACAGCATACGCATGAAAAAAAGGTTATTTCTTTTATATATTTTGCTTTTCTTTGTATATATATTCTTTTAGATATTTTTTTGCATATGTATCTATAACTGTTGTTATGTATGTGCTGTAAATAATGCAAATAAATTATATATCTATCTATTAATTGTATATTATAAAAAAGGGAGACTTTGTACAAAAGTCGATTGCTTGGGGTACCTCTGACTCATTCGTGTTTCAACCGTGAAGCAGTTGTGTTTGTATGGCTGTTTCGGTTTGAAGGGTGGGATATGGACACGGTTACCATTCCATTATCACCCATTAAAAAATAAAGTAGGGCATTGCCTCCCCCCCCCCCACCCTATTGGCCGCAGCCATGATAATATTAATAAGAATTTTCACAAAACAGTTGTAGTGACAAGCATAGTGTTATTAATAGGAGAGGAAGGGATTGTTAGTATTGGAGACTAAGGGCTCTATCGCGAACAACATACCCAACCTGGTCGACCTCCCCGTGGTCCCCCCGTGCTTAGTTCCAAGTGTATTCATCGTGATGGGCTGACTGACCTGCCTTTTTCATTCTCACCTATCATCCCTCAGTGGTGCCCCGCCGGTGTATACCATTAGCGCAGACGGTGCTACCGTTGCATTATCATCCATTAAAAAAAAAAAAAAGTGTTTTTAATATTGCTCTGTACTTTTTTCCAGGTCTGAATGCGTGCGAAAAAAAATCCTATCTATTCCTACGCAAAGAGCTACCAGTCAGGTAAATATTATTAAATTTTTTTTTATTGCCTATCATAATGGGCTTATTGTTATCAGTGTCTAGGAACTGTTAGAAGAGTGACATGTTTGCTGTTATAATAAATTATCTATTTGTTTACGTGAATTACACTATTATCGCTAGCGTCATCGTCATTTTAATCAGCCTTTAACTGTCCACTGTTGAACATATAACCCCTTGAGTGTTTTTTTTTTATATATATATACCACTGAGGTGGCAAACAAGCATACGGCCCACCTAATGGTAAGTGGTTACCGTAGCCTATAAACACCTGCAATACCAAAGGTATTACGCGTGCGTTGCCGACCCTGAAGAAACCTCTTTACCCCCCTTTTGAAGAACCCCATGCTGTAGTCTCTTGGGAAATGAATTTACTGGCGTGAATTTACTGGGTACAGAGGAATAACACCTGAGTCCTCAGGAATGGCAACGCATGGGGGGTATCATGGGTGAAACAGTATACTCTGTTATATCCGTGGTACTGCTCATGTCTATAGGCGACGGTTACCATTTTCCATCAGGTGGACCGTCAGCTTGTTTGCCATTCTAAGTTGTATAAAAAAAAAAAAGTGGCTGTGGGCATCATATTGAACAATTCCTCTGAGCACAATCCATTGTACAGGCGGTAGAACACGCAGAGTGAGGCAAAATCTCTCCTAAGACTTAAGGGTTCGATACCGCTTGTGAGCCTGGGATCATCGATAATTCTCATAGCTTGTCGTTGCAACGAGTCGAAAGGTTCAAGCTGGTATTTAGGTGCTCCGGCCCACAAGTGACAGCAATACTCCATGTGGGGCCGGAATTCCGATTTGTACAGCATTAATCACTGATCCGGCGTGAAGTAATGCTTCGCTCTATTGAGCACACCGAGTTTTTTGGATGCCAGCTTCACCTTATTTTCGAGGTGGCCAAGGAATTGTACATCACTAGAGATGTCGACACCAAGAATTCCAATACTTTTAGAGATGTTAAGAGACGTGCCTTGGAACTGTGGAGCCACAGCAAATGGGGTTTTCTTAGCGGTGAACGCGCAATTAGTTTTGCCAATAGTGGCCACGCAAGGCAGGCGGATTGCCAACCGCATGTTAGACTATGGTGATATTTTAAGAGAAACCCTGCTGCCCATCCCTCGATCTTCTTTAATCGTCTCTTACGACACCCAAGAGAAAGGAAGGGATGGCTTATTCTATGCCGGGGACCACACGGCCAACGTGTTTTGGTTTGAAGGGTACATAGACATTAACACTAACCTTAATCCTGGAGGGTAAGGAATTGTTAGTAATGAGGTCTACCAGCCCCATTGCTACCAACATACCGTATCAGGTTGACCTCCACGCGGTTTCCCCTGGAAGCCACCTTGAATAATCATTTATGAATTCGTCACTATTGGTCAACTGACCTATTCTATCATCACCTATCCCTCGCTAGTGTTTCGCCGGTGTATATCGATAGTGTAGGCGAGTTAACCATTCCATTATCACCCATAAAAAAACCTTTGTATCAAACACAGTATACTCTTTATGCCCATATAAATGACAGTTTGATGGGTGAAAATTTTAACCCCGCCTGCGCTAACGGGATACGCTGGCGGAGCACCAGTGAAAATAGATGAGAATGAAAACAGGCCAGTTAGCTCATTATGATGAATTCATTAGAATTAACCATGATAGTTTCCAGGGGGAACCGCGAAATAACCTGGTTGAGTATATTGCTAATGGGATTTTTTTACTAACAATCCCTTTCCCCCTATAAACGACAGTTACCACTTTTTATTAAGTGGGTTGTTAGCTTATTTGCAATTGTAAGTTGCATAAAGAACCTTGTGTAAACATACAGTGCAGTGCGTAGTATTGCTTATCAGTATACACGGTATCGTTATTTGCATGATTATTAATATCATTTTGTAACTATATTGCAGAAGTATTTTATCAACCAACTATTCAATTTCATTGTTTATTCCTTTTTTTTATACAACTTAGTATTAAACAAGCTGACGGCCCACCTGATGGAAAGTGAACCGTCGCCTATACGAGGTCTGTTTCGTATAAAAGTGTTCTGGAATGCGATAATAAATTCCTTATGTCCCTAACAATGCTTCAGTTCTGGTCTGACCGCCGTTGCGAACTGGCTTGTCACGCCATCTGTGATTACCTCTTAACGAAACCCCGTCGGCATGGAGCCCGCTTCCGTTGAAGAGCAGCGCGTCGTAATCAAGTTTCTCTCGAAACTCGGCAAGAATGGCCGTGAAATTTTTGCCGATCTCAGAACAGTTTATGGGGATGATGCTGTGAAGGAACCAACCGTCCACAAGTGGCTAAAAAGATTCAGAGAGGGCCAAGAAAGCGTTCAAGATGACCCACGTTCAGGACGTCCTTCCACTTCACATTCCGACGAAAACGTGGAAAGAATTCGAACTTGTGGTGGGGACCGTGTTTAACGGTCAGACAGTCGTGTGGCACGAGTTCGTCCAGAATTGGCGCGAGAGGGGCGTTGGATTCTTCACCACGACAATGCCCCTGCCCACACCTCTCTTGTTGTCCGTGAGTTTTTGAGTAAAAATTCCATTACGGTGACCGAACACCCCCCTATTCGCCGGATTTGGCCCCGTGTGACTTCTTCTTGTTCCCAAAAACCAAATTGGTACTTCGGGGGCGGCATTTGGGGACATAAATGAGATAAAAAAAGCTACGACGGGGCAGCTGAGAAACCTACAACCAGAGGACTTTCAAGGAGCCTTCTCACAGTGGAAACGGCGTTGGCACAAGTGCATTATGTCACAGGGGGAGTACTTTGAAGGGGATAAAATTGATTTACCTGAATAATTGTAAAATAAAATTTTTAAAAAACTTTTATACGTACTTTCCGGACAAACCTCGTAGATATGAGCAGTACCATGGACATAACAGAGTATACTGTTTCGCCCATGATACCCCCCATGCGTTGCCATTCCTGAGGACTCAGGTGTTATTTCTCTGTACCCTGTAATTTTTTTTTATTTTTTTATACAACTTAGAATGGTAAACAAGCTGACGGCCCACCTGATGGAAAGTGGTAACCGTCGCCTATAGATATGAGCAGTACCATGGACATAACAGAGTATACTGTTTCGCCCATGATACCCCCACGCGTTGCCATTCCTGAGAACTCAGGTGGTATTAAGCGTATTTTTGCTGTTCAATCGACTTCAAAAAGGGGGTTCCAAATTTGAATACATATTTTTTTTATTTGTGTAACCTCATAACCCAGCCAGTTGTAACCTAAGAACAAGGAATTACATAGAAGGAATGAAAAAATAAAAACTTCATAGCAGGCTAGTGTATAGAAAATGTTATACGGCCGTATAACCTTACCAAATTCAGATACAACCCGCTTGCATACTTTCTACATAAACTGTGTCCAATATATAATCTAGTAATGTAAAATTTGTCTTTGACAAATAATTGACATATCAAACATTTTCTATACACTAGCCTGCTATGAATTGAGAAAAATGACAACTGACGGTGTATGTTTTGTTCTCTTTTTACTAATTATCTTATATATAAAATTCTCGTGTCACGGTGTTTGTTACCAAACTCCTCCGAAACGGCTTTACCGATTTTTATGAAATTTTGTGTGCATATTGGGTAGGTCTGAGAATCGGCCAACATCTATTTTTATACTCCTCAATGATAAGGGTGACCCTCCCCAAAACATTTTTTTTATTTTTTTGACAAATTTTTCCATTTTAATTTTTTTATGATTTAGCATTGAAAAATACATACAACCTCAAATTTTCACCGTTTTACGATCAACGTCTGTTTGTTAATCGCTATTTTTATATTCCGCAATAGGGTTGCAAGATGGCAATCGAATATAATAATTGTAGTACGATAAATTTTCATGTATAGTACTCGAAATAATGTATATGGTAAAACAACGTTTGTTGAGTCAGCTAGTATTTGTATAAGAAGAAAGGAGGCAACCAATTTTACAATTTTTATTTTAACATTCCTTCTATGTAATTTCTTGTTCTTAGGTTGTAACCGATTTGGAAAATTCTTTTTTTTTTTTATCTAACCGGATATACTTACTGGTATATTTAAATAAAACTTGTTATTTCAATTCCACTTGTATATTTATTAGAAGTCATTTTATGAGCGGGAACAATGGCAAAAGACAACGGAGTATATTTCACTTTGGATGCCTTCATTTATATATATTTAAATTAGATGCGTTCATCTTACACTTACTGTTTTTTTTTTTGTTATTTGATGAAAATGGAATAGTAACCCGCGCTAACGGGATACGCTGGCGGGGCACCAGTGAAGGGTGATCGATGAGGATGAAAACAGGCCAGTTAGCCCATCATGATGAATTCATCAGGAATTAATCATGATAGTTTCTAGGGGGAACCGCGAGGAGGTCGACCTGGTTGGGTATATTGCTAGCAATGGGATTCTCAATCTCCATTACTAATAATGCCTTTCCCCCTACACTTACTGTTTGGTCCTATACAAATTTCATCAACATCGGTCCAGCAGTTTTTAAATCGGTTATAACTGGTTTTGTAACAATTGAAATCTGTTTTTTGCATCTATAATTATAGTAGGTACCGTAGAGTCGTGAAATCACGGCATAGAATAATCCATGGATTTATTTCCCGTGGGTGTTATAAGAGGCGACTAAGTAATCTTAATGCTTGAGCGTTGGGTAACAGCGTCCCATTTAAAACATCACCAAAATCTAACATCAAAGTCCAACCATCTGGACGAGTGGCGGTCCTCCACCGTGCGTTTTTCAAGGCACTTTCTTCCACGCACAACCACTCTTTGGAATCAACTTCCAGCAGCAGTATTACCGAACCGATACGAAAACATAACCTTCAAGAAAAGAGCATATCCCTTTTTAAAAGGCAGGCAGCACACCTGCAATGCCGTTGGTGTTGTGGGTGATCATGGGCGGCGGTAGTCACTTACCATCAGGTGAGCCGCTTGCTCGTTTGCCCCCTGTGTTGTAAAAAAAAAACTACTGTTGTCAATCCGCATGCGAAGCGTGGCAACTACTGACGAACCCAAACTGTGAGAGACTGTGGGAAACCACTAGAAACCCTATGTTCAGCAGTCGACAGTTAAACCCTGATGTGATAAAAATTACTGGTAATAAAAAAATTACAAGGAACACTGGTGGTTTTATTTCTGGGAGGGTTTTTTCCAATCTTTTATTTACGCCCATTTTCTTATCTTGCAGGTTAGCGAACATAATGAAAGAGATAGCGCTACTGCCGGAGAACTTGCTGCGGATGCCGTCGGTGGGGCTGGTGAATCAGTGGTACGAGCGGTCGTTCGAGGAGATCACAGAATTCGAGAAGATGGAACCGGAACCGCCGGTGTTGACAGAGTAAGCATTATTTTTTTATACCACGAAATGTGGTAACCAAGCATACAGCTCGTCTGATGGTAATCTAAAGACGCCTGCAGCACTAGAGGTGCCACGTGAATCATTGCCGACCCTGCAGAAATCTTAAAAGATCCTTTTTGAAAACCCCATAGTGTAGTCTTTAGGGAAAACCAGGGTAGGGAGCTCATTCCACAGCTTGAGCGTTCGCGGGAGATTCTTTTGAAATAGTGCAGTTCACGCGTACGTGATTATTTATGTTCAAACATATGAGGATGAATTCCCTGTCGATGGTGAGCAGTGCGATGATAAAAGGTTGCTAATTAATAAGTGAAAATGGAATGGTTACCCCGCCTGCACTATCGGGATACGCTGGCGGGGCACCAGTGAGGGATGATAGGTGAAGATGAAAAGGCAGGTCAGTTAGCCCATCGTGACGAATTATCACCCATTAAAAAAAATATCCAAGTGGGAAACCGGACTTTTTTTTAATGCGTGAAAATGGCATGGTAACCCCGCCTGCGCTATCGATATACACTGGCGGAGCACCAGTGAGAGGTGATAGGTGAGGATGAAAAGGCAGGTCAGTTAGCCCATCGTGACGAATTCAAAGATAAATTAGTCACGATAGTTTCCAGGGGGAACCGCGTGGATGACGACCTGATAGGGTATATTGATAGCAACGGGGACTAACCTCCCCATTACTAACAATCCTTTCCCCCCGGGAAGCTGGGCTGTTGACCGATATTGGACTTTTTTTGAGGCACTCTTAGATACGAGATTTGTAGGTAAGAGATTTACAGTCGTTTCTATGTAAATAGATGGAAATAGAACAAACAAATCGGTCCCCTGTAAGATACGAGTCATTACCTTTATTTTGTTCATCATCATCACTAATGACGAAGGTGAAGCAACAAAATTTCAACAAAGAACAAACGACTTGTAAGTCGTTTGTCACACTAATAATTTCTGTACTAAAACAGTTATGCTTGCATGACCGTATTCTGGTTTGAAGGATAGTACGTAGTAATATTTTTTTTTTATACAACTTAGAATGGCAAACAAGCTGACGGCCCACCTGATGGAAAGTGGTAACCGTCGCCTATAGACATTAGCAGTACCATGGACATAACAGAGTGTACTGTTTCGCCCACGATACCCCCCATGCGTTGCCATTCCTGAGGACTCAGGTGTTATTCCTCTGTACCCAGTAAATTCACGCCATATCCCACCCTTCAAACCGAAACACAGCCATGCAAACACAACTGCTTCACGGTTGAAACACGAATGGGACAGAGGTACTCAAGCAATCGACTTTTGTACAAAGTCTCCCTCCATTACAGGGTAATGGTGAAGACTCTTACATCCGCACACATATGTACACATATTTGTACTAATGAATAAATAAATACATAAAAAATGGCAATGAATGACGGATATCATTTATATTCGGTCTTAGCTCAACGGTTTCCATTCGTCAATCAGAAACGTTAGTCACTCTTTTCCCTCTACAAAAGTTTCTTCAAACACCCAGTCTCCGGTTATACTTAAGGAGTAAATTCCATTATCTTTTTGAAACTCACGAACGTAACCTTCGTTCCAATAATATTCTCCAATTATCTTTCCCCTCTCACCGTACTGGTTACGCTTCAAACTCTTTTCTCCTACATTCTTCACGACTTTGGAATGCGCTTCCTGATGCCATTAAGAGACTACCGACTAAACCGTCTTTCAAAAAAAAGTTCACGCTCACTTTTTATCTTTATAATATAATATATATGTTTTTTATATATATAATATTCGTATATATCATTTATGTGTAAGTATTTATTTGTTATATATATATATATATATATATATATATATATATATATATATATATATATATATATATAATAATTACTAGTACCGCATTCGAGTATTCTTAAACTTGCCTATGGTTGACTGGGAGAGAATGCTTTTAGCATTAAGTCCGCCATGTACACATATTTGTACTAATGAATAAATAAATACATAAAAAATGGCAATGAATGACGGATATCATGGGTTATATTCTGTGATCTTTATGGCAACGGTTACCACTTCCGTCACCATATCAGGTGGGCTGTCAACTTGGTTTCCAATCTATAAAAGTTTATTCATCCCACAGATTCTGCGAACGGTTAGTTCACATAAGAAATCGTCACGCCGACGTCGTCCAGACCATGGCACAGGGTGTCCTAGAGCTAAAGGAGTCTCATGAAGTGGACACGGGCACAGAGAACTCCATCCAGTACTTCTTGGACAGATTCTATATGAGCCGGATATCTATCAGGATGCTGATCAACCAGCACAGTGAGTTGGTTCCCTGTTTTTCGTTTAATAATATATATGTTTTATTTGTATTATATATATATATATATATATATAATATATTTTACAGATAAATTTAAATTTTTAGAGAATTATGTTTTTACACTGAACCTTCTACAGTTATATATATATATATATATATATATATATATATATATATATAAAATTCGTCACGATGAGCTAACTGGCCTATTTTTATCCTCACCTATTCATCTATCACTGGTGACCCGCCAGTGTATACCGATAGCACAGACTGTTTTTTTATGGATGATAATGGAATGGTAGGACGGTATACGCTGCCGGGGCACCAGTGAGAGATGACAGGTGAGAGTGAAAAGGCAGGTCAGTTAGCTCATCGTGACGAATACTTTTTGGATTCATCATGATGGTTTCCAGGGGGACCACGTAAAGGTCGACCTGACAGCGTAATTTGCTAGCAATGGGACTGATAGTTCGCATTATTAACACCTCCCCCTCCCCCCTCTCCGCACAGACGGGGTTACCTTATCATCCATTAAACTAACCTAATTTCCCTTGCAGCCTTACTCTTTAGTGAGCAACTAGGAGCCAGGCAGGCGTCAGTGAACGGCATCGGGATAGGTGGCCGGCACATCGGCTCCATTGATCCCGCCTGCGACGTGGTTGCCGTGGTCAAGGACGCGTACGAGAACGCTAGGTTCCTCTGCGACCGGTACTATCTCGCCTCGCCCGAACTGGAGATATTGCAGTGTGGAGGTGAGATTTCTTTCATTGACAATACCATACATTTTGGGCGGAGCTGGGTTGGTTGTACTAGCTACGATTTACACGCACAATCGCCCAAATGAGAGGCTAGCGCGGAAAAGAGTCCTATTTACATTACATACCATACATTTTTAAATGACTCCTCGAAAAAGAAGTAGAAGTGCTTCGAGAGAAACGAGTCAACTTTTTCATACATTTTTGAATGATAAATAGTTATGAGTGATTCCTTTGTAACTTCTATATTTATTTTGTCTTATAAATTCCGCATCTTTTTAATGCGTAAACATTCATATTGTTTATTAAATAATACGTCAAAATACATTTTATGTGTAAATATATAGAACACCTAGCTGATAAAAAGTTGACCCGTTTTTGAGGCTCGACGCTCTATCTATATAATCTAAGTTTTATTCATATTTTGCAAAGAATTGACTTTTGGATTTACAATATCTTTTATATATGTATATTGGCGCGATAACAGATATATTAGATGTCAATTATACGATATATAATATCGACAAGAAGAACCCGCTCATAATGAATATAGATATCTGGCTGCGTCTCTTAATAATTACCAAAGCCTAACTGCGGCTGCCGGGGGGGGGGGGGATTGTTAGCAATGGAGTTTTACAGCCTCCTAGCTAGCAATATGCCTTATAAGGTCGACCTCCACGTGGTTCCCCTGAAAACCATCGTGAACAATTCTTGTTGCATTCGTCACGATGGGCTAACTGACCTACTTCATCCTCACCTATCATCCTTCACTGGTGCCTCGTCGGTGTATACCGATAGCGCGGGTGGGGTTACCATTCCATTATCATCCATTAAAAAAAAGACTGGTATGGGCGATATCGCAATATATAGATATCAGATATATAAATCACAGATATATAGATATCAGATATATATATTAGATATCAGATATAACTCTCATCTCTCTCTATACGTAATATGAATATATGTTTATTTTAGTGCCAAGTGAGCGGCCTATGTCGGTGGTGTATGTGCCGTCTCACCTCTACCACATGCTGTTCGAGCTGTTCAAGAACGCCATGCGAGCGGTCATGGAACACCATGAGGACAATCCACCACCGATACAGGTCAACTTGGTGCAGGGCCGCGAGGATATATCGGTCAAGGTCAGTTCAGAGTTCATATTCTTTGATGCGTTAACCACTTTTTATATATGTACATAAATGGTTAACAAGCATACAACTAATTACCAGAGGGAGACTGTACAAAAGTCGTTTGCTTTGGCACCTCTGTCTCATTCGTGTTTCTACCGTGAAGCAGTTGTGTTTGCATGGCTGTGTTTCGGTTTGAAGGGTGGGATATGGCAGTGAATTTACAGGATACGGAGGAATAACACCTGAGTTCTCAGGAATGGCAACGCGTGGGGGGTATCATGGGCGAAACAGTATACTCTGTTATGTCCATGGTACTGCTCATATCTATAGGCGACGGTTACCACTTTCCATCAGGTGGGCCGTCAGCTTGTTTGCCATTCTAAGTTGTATAAAAAAAACCACGGGTAAGGATGGAGTGGCCCATTTTATGCCGGGACCAGACTGTAATGTAATGAATAACGATGTAATATAATAAATGAATGAAACTGCCTTTATTGTTCCCCTCAAATCTTTGATTAAATCCCCTAAAATCTTTTTTTTTAAATACCTAAATACAAGAATTAAAATAATGAGGCAACAATGGACAGTCGTATCGCTAAATATCAATCTTCAAGCAACGTTAGAATAGAGACATTAATAATAATAAATTCTTTATTGCGCACAGTAGAGATGTATACAAGGAGTATTTATACAGAATTTGCATATACAAAAGGCGGCCTTATCGCTAGAAGCAATCTCTTACAGACAACCTGGCGTAAAGAATGGATAAGTACAGAGAGAAAGGTAGATGGCGTAATCATACACAGTAAATACATAAATGAATCAAACAAAATGCAAAATATTCTAAGTATAAAAATAAGAAAAATACATAAACATACATATATAATAAAGTAAACGTCAAAGCAAATTAGAGAGATAGGTTGAGATTTTAAATGCCTCTTGAACGAGGCAAGAGATCAATCTAATAGAAAGAGGTAACAAGTTCGAGACGGATAGCTTGGATAGTGAAAGAATAGGAATAGAATTAAGAAGAATGAATAGGAGTTATGAATAGGAGACATTCTGTTTTCTGTTACCATGATGACGATGTAATGTTTACAGATGTCGGACCGCGGCGGCGGCATCCCCAGGAGCGTGACGGACCTGCTGTTCAAGTATATGTACAGCACGGCGCCACAACCGTCCAAGTCGGACTCCCATACAGTGCCTCTTGCTGGTGAGTTGTATCTTTATTAAAGAAGTTTGAAGGCTGCAGCCGTCTATGTATAACTACCATCGAGTGTCTCTGCACGTCCTCGAGGTTTTTTATTGGTGAAAATGGTATGGTAACCTGCCTAACGGGATACGCTGGCGGAGCACCAGTGAAGGGTGATAGATAAGAATGAAAACAGGCCAGTTAGCCCATCATGATGAATTCATCAGGAATTAACCATGATAGTTTCCAGGGGGAACCGCGAGGAGGTCTACCTGGTTGGGTATATTGCTAGCAATGGGATTCTCAGTCTCCATTACTAACAATTCATTTCCCCCTACCCAACGCTATAAATATGGTATATGTATGTTTTTTTTTAATACATAATAATGGTATAGGTATAGGTATACACTGCGCTATAGATATACACTGGCGTGGCACTAATGAGGGATGATAGGTGAGAATGAAAAAGCAGGTCAGTTAGCCCATCATGAAGAGTTCCACTAGAAATAACCACGATGGTTTCCAGGAAAAGCCGTGTGGAGGTCGACTGATAGTCCACATTACTAACACCCCCCCCCCCTCGGTAAATGTATGTTATCTCTTACTAAAAAGTGAACAGCCAGTTTATCTCTTTAAAAAACTAAATTTCTCTTCACGTATGTATGGATACAGATTCATTTGTTCGAAATTATCATTTCAAGCACACAGAACTGTGGCATTTACTGGCAGCTTCCTTCCGCTACCAAGCAACAAAATGTTGGAACAACATCCCGCCACCATTTAGGCATCTGACTACCGTACACAGTTTTAAAAAACATCACAAAGAATACTTATTAAAAAAACAAATTTTAGGCATTCCACAGAAATTTCTTGGCTAGCGGTTGCAATCTCATGTAATGATTTTTAATATTTTTTTTCCTTGTTTCTCTTATTAATATTTTCTTATTTTATTTTTTTTTCTCGTTTTATCCTTACCACTCAGTTGAAATTATATCACTCTGAACTATTTACATTATTTTTATTATACACACACTGCACAGACAGTCACCAAAAATATTGCTCTTTTTATTTTATATTTATTTTAATTATTATTTTCACGTACCCTCAAATGGGTTAAAGCTGAAAATCAGTGTTTTGTTCCTTGAACAATGTTACACGCTGAGCTTCGAGCTTTTTGTATTGCTGCAGATCACACGTAATAACACAATTTTATAAATCTTATGTTGTTTTATGTATTATCTATTCTTATGTACATGTTGTGTGTGATTAGTAACAAACAAATAAACGATATATCTATCTATCTATCTATCTATCTATCTACTTTGCTTTTCTACATTCGCAGGCTACGGGTATGGTTTGCCTATATCCCGTCTGTACGCGAGGTACTTCCATGGCGATCTGGTGCTCATGTCGTGTGAAGGTCACGGTACTGATGCGGTCATTTATTTAAAGGTAATTTGAGAATATCTCCTAAATAAACTCTGTTATGTCCATGTAATAAAGGATAAGTAAGCTGAAGTGGCAATGACCTGGTCATATAGCTTGAAGAACCGATAACCGATGAAGAAGAAAGATTCTTGAGTTGCGACCCTGTGCCGGTAAACGCGGTAAGACGATACCCCACTAGATGGAGTGACGACCTCAAATTTTGCAGGGAGTCAGTGGATGCAGGTGGCTCATTACCGCTCTTTATGGCAGTCTATGTCCAGCAGTGGACAGTTAACGGCTGATTATTTTACTGTTCATGTCTATAGGCGTCTGTTACCACTTTCCATCAGGTGGGCCGTCAGCTTGCTTGCCATTCTAAGTTGTATAAAAAGAAATTTACTGCTCGGATGTAGTATAAAAATGAACATGATTTTTTAAATTGTCTAGCCCATAGTCTCATTTATCTTTTTTAACAGGCTCTATCAAACGAAGCCAACGAGTTCCTGCCAATCTTCAACAAGACATCGTCGAAGTTCTACCGGCCGGTGGCTCAGCTCGCCGACTGGTCCGGTCCCGTCAACACGGCGGCACAGAGCAAGAACAAGGAGAAAGTGTCACCGCTGTCTGCGCATACGCCGGTCTCGCATAGTCTATAGTGCGAGTCGGAGGAGTGAGACGTCACTCCTGAAACGCGCTAACGAAGTTTTTCATCACGAAAGTATAAACATAGCCCTGTCTATAGTGTTGCGTAACAATCAATAGGATTAACAGATAATTAGAATAAGGATTTAAATATCGAATAAGTCGATCGATTCTGTGTTTAACAAATTCAATCGGGTATAATCGATTACGGTATCATCATCGTCATATTACTCGTTAACTGTCCACTGAATTGGGCCACCCCTATTGGGAGCTTTGCCAGCAGTTGCCACGCTTGACAGAGTGAATTGGCAACCGCAGGTTGTAGTGATATTTCAAGAGAGCAGCTGTTGTCCATTTATCAATAAGTTCTCTTAGTTGCCCCTTCACCCACGGAAACGGAAGGGGTGGCCCATTCTATGCCGGGCCTACAAGGTTTTCACCGTATTCGATAAATATTGGTTATATCGAAAATCGAATAAGATTTTGTTTCTTAGTCGATATATAATCGTATCGATTGTACCGTATTATCGGTAATATTATACGTTACATTATTTGTGACCGATCTATCGAATTAACTCGATAACAAACGATTATTAGGCAGCACTACTTGTCTAAGTGTTACAGTGATATTGTTGACAGAGTCTTGTATTTCAGTGTGATTGGTAGTTGATATTTTTAATATCTCTAATTTATCTACTCATAGGTATAGGATTAGATCCGAGTGAATTAGTGTTGCAATCGATTTTAAGATTATCGATTATGTTTAGACCAAATCGCTTAAGTTCTCGATTATGACCATACGAAGCTTTATAGATTCGATTTTATAACACTATAAGTGTAAGAACCATGCGGCCTATAAAGGACACAAAAAATTTTTTTATCAATCATCGTATGAGAATTGTATTGAATCGAGTCATTGTAGATAATTGTCATCCCTAAACATTAAAATTTAAGATTTTAAAATTAGAATAGCCACAGAATAAAAACGGTAGTGGAAGTGTCGTGTGCGCAGAGACGGGTTTCAAAGTCTCAACCCAATTCGCTCATTCTATACCCTATGTAAATATATATTCACACAAATATAGTGTGCAAGTAAGTCTGTGTGTGTGTAAACAGTTAATATGTATCTGATACAGCACAAAAATAGTCTAAAATTGCATAAAAGTTTATGAAACCAATCTCAATATACCAACCATAAGTCCTAGGCAAAATTTGAGAGACATTTCAAATTTGGAACACAAGCAAAATTTGAGATATATAAATTTTTAATTAGGTCATATTGTCCCTATATTTGTAGAACTTGAGAAAGATTTAAGAATTGCCTTTCTTCTTATTATATATAATAACAACAATATTGTTTATAAGTATTATTAAGCCACGCCTAAGGTGTCACTATAAATGAATACAACTCTGATAGTTCCTCCCCCCCCCCTCACCCCTCTTCATAGAAAGTCATGTCTTTAAACAAGAAAAAAAAAACGATTCGTTTTTCTTTACTACCAAACCACACTGTTTTTATTCTGTGGTCTAAAAGAATTTGAAATTTGGAACGCGCTGTAAAAATGTTTATTTTAGTAAAAATATATAGAAGCGCAATGTAGTTTAAGTAACTTGGATTCGTAGTCAAACTACAGTGAGTACTAAATTATAAATAAAAAAAAAGTATCTTTTCCAGTTACAACCGATTTTGAAATTAGCATATATTAAAAGAACAGTGATTGTATTCAGTTAAAAAATGAAAACGGCAGTATGGCAATATTATTATGAAACAAATTATATGAATAACATATCCCAAGAAATGTTGAGTTAAAAAACGTAATTTTTCATGTTCAAGTCCTGGACAAAAACAGTACAATCTAGTCCCAAAACTAAGTAGAACTTGTACTATGAGTACTAAACAATTGATACACATACTTAAATATATACTTACATACTCATTATAATATACATCTAAATTAAAACAAATACGCCCTTATGTCAAATTGATTAAGAACAATTTTACTTTATCAAAATTAATCACTATGTCTATCTTGTTTGCGCACACTAAATACGTATTTGTAGAAACGAGACGCCTTCTAAAGAGGAATGTAATGTAATTACTGCAGGTATTTTTTTTTTTTTTAATATTTTCACCGATGTGATATTTATTTTAGGGTTGCGGTTGAATTATGGTTCACCGGAAATGGACTGATATAAGTGAGTTTAGTGTTCTGCATAGTTTTGAATCGATATAGATTTTTTTTTTTTTAGTGAAGACAGAAAAGAAAATTTTTACCATTAATTTGAGCAGCCATTTTTATATAGCAACACTGTAAGTGACAGTTTTAAAATTGGAATGTCACGCTACCGCCACATATTCATTTAAAAGTCTTTGTTTATTTTAAAAAGTCTTTAAAATTGCAATTAGTTACTCTGTGATATTATAAATTATCTATGAGATATTGACTAAAAAATTTTTAAGATTCTTTGCATTTTATATACAATATTTTTTTATCAGAATATTAAATTGGACTTAAATACCTAATTCAGATATTATTAGCAATCATTTTTTGTTTATTTTATCATACTGCCTTATCAAAATGACAATCTTGAGATAAATTTTGAATATCATTGAAAAATACTATAAGACAACAAAAGTGTACTGAAATAGTAATACATTATACTTTAAAATTTATGTGGCAATGATTTTTTTATTCCAAAATTATTGATTCAAAACTATGTCAACTAAAAGCAAAGATATTAAAATTACTCTAATATTGTTGTTGATATAAAAAATATCATATTTTTTAGGAATGTTAGAATTATAATATTACAGTATGACTGTGCATGTGTATGTATGAGTGTTCATACAAAAAAAAATTATATCACTACTTATTAGGTTAATTAGTTGATATTACGACTCAATTATAGACAAGCCAAAATAATAAAACGACAATTTAAATAATAGTTGTAAAAAAAAAACCTTTATTTAATATGAAATAGTTGATATGAAAGCCCCATTACATACCTGTATAAATTTTTTAATCTATAAAATGCTCATAGACAATTGCAAATGTATTGATGTATGTTGTATACACCTGTTTTTCTTTTTATGAAGTTTTGAAGTCTTATAACCTCTCTGACTGCCAGTGTTATTAAAATATGTACTCCTTTTAACATTAATTGTGTTTGGCAACCAAAAAATTTATCTGTGTAGTTGTTTTGACCTGTGATTGTTGTTTTATCAGAATTTCTTTTTTACTTTAAATATTATATGTAGTACTTTCTTCCTCGCCACAAATAATTATAATAAGTTCATTATTATTGTATACAGTTTATAATAAAATGCATTTGTATTAAATTATATATTACAATTATATAAAAAAAAAAAAAATTAAAAACATACATTTCGCGCCATTATACCAATATCCACAAGGTTTATATCACTATACTACAATACAGTTACGTATTTTCTATTACTTGTGTGGGGTGGCGCCCTCTGATAAAAGTTATTGAAATTTTGACATGTTTATGTACACACCGAACATTAATATTATCCATGAATTATTTTTAAAAATGGAAAAGACAAAAATAGAATTGACTGGATTAACAATAAAAAAAATTGTTACTTTATGCCTACTTATTTGTTGACATATGTTGTAATTTTTGTTTACTGAACTAAATTACTCACTTGCATTTCATATACTTTGTTATTGTAAGTTTAATTCCAAAATCAATGTAAATGTGATTATAATTGTGTAGAGAAGATACATTTAATTTTTACAAATAAAATAAAGTATTAAATCTTTGTTGTTGTTTATTGTCGCCTGTTAAAAGTAACGTGATTTGAAAATTACGTTATTATTACCTATCTCGAGTATGCTGTGGATATCCTGGATCTAAACCGCTCTAGGTGGCAATCAATCTATTCAATCCAATGTCTTCAAAGCTGGACAGTACACAACTGCACTAAATACTTATTTGACCCACTTCTACTTTTTCTTCAGTATGATTAATTTTTAAGAACTTTTTAACGAATAGTAAAATTGCAAAAACAACGCACTTTAGTTTCTTAAATCGTTCTTTAGTCAATTATCGCAAGAAACCTTGAACTTTATTAAGAGTTCGGGACTATGATTACTTAGATTTCATATAGTTTATGATTTATTTGTTAATGCATCATAAATGTCTATTATTTTTAGTAAATTAATATCAAGAGGGATTAGTCTTATTTTATTATTTTAGGTGCTAAACTAATTATTTTTGTAAACTGGCTACCCGCGTTAAGTATGAGCTGTTTAAATTACGAATTACAGTTAATCCCTTCATCTGTCATATCACATTGATGCTTTTTTAAGCAGGTTGGATAAGCTATCTGTCAGATTTCGTCTAAACTGTCAGTCACAGATGTCACTTTTACATCAGTCAATCAATTTAATTTCTATCAAAAAAAAATTTCTGCCAGGTGGATAATTACCTGTAAAGGTTATGATAAGTTATAATTTATTTATCTACATTACTGAATAAAAGGGACAAATATAAAATGAAGATTTATACTAATGAAAATAATACGTCCACACTAAAGTTGCTAATTGCTGCAAAGTTAGCTAGTAAAAAAGTTGAACTGCAGAATGCATCGTTTGCAGGTATTTTAATATTTTTATCTTTATTACGTATTTTTGTTTGAAATAAAAACTATTTTTTAAATTATTTTAACATAATATCTACCAGTTAACGTTGCTTATTTGTAGTAATAACATTTCTATGATATTGCTTAAAATTTCGTCATGCTATTAGTACTTATGTCACATGTGTAGAATAACAGGAAATTTGTTAATCAGCAATTTGCACTTTACCCCGTAAATCGACGTATTTTTTTTTTATTGTAAGTTATATATTATATGAAAATAAGTCAGTAAATAATCATAAGTAGGCATAGCAAAATTCTTATATTTAAAATATTTAATTTATATAAATACTTAAAAAAAATCTCTGGTGAACCCTTATACTTACCACTCATGTTGACAGAGTAAATAACTGAACATAACAAAAAATGTATATCCATTATTATATATTAATTTATGTTTTTTTATTTTATTTTTTTTATATTTATTTATTTTTTTTTTATATCTGACATAATTAGTAAACATTTTTACAGGTTTTTCAACCAATTTAAAAAAGAAGGAATTTCCTAATTTGGATGAATCATTATTTTGTTTGTTATCACATTACTCTGTCAGTTCTAAACTGAATTGGAAAATTCTATTTTTATCTGAAAGAATATTTTTTTTAAACCCATTTTATTTAAACCCATTCAGTAGCTTAGTTTTTAGACTAAAACAACATGTTTTTCCACAATTAATGTCAGTTTTTTGTGGTACACAATCTTTAATTATTCTATTCAATATAGAATGGCAAACAAATTTATATTCGCACCTGATTGCAAGCCTATTTACACGAACAGTATCAAGGATATTATAAAATGTATTGTATGGGCCTTGACACTCTAGATTGTTAGACCTTCAATGAGAGTACTTGACACATTTTATATTTCCAGTTTTCCATTGTTTTAATTAAAAAAAAAATTAAGTTTTTTTTTGTCATGCACAATCTTCATTGTTTTATCTATTTATTTATTTTACACTGTTACTTACACTGACAGCGGTTATTTTATTAATTATGCCAAATATAGAAAACAACATATTTTTTATGTACAGCTCTGTGTTTGTTTACAAGCTGATAAGCTGACAGTCAATATCTGTTGTTATCAACATGTCAATATGACAATTGTTTTATAGATTCATGCTATTGTTATTATTAGTAGCTAATAACTACTTGTAAACCACCATTTATGGTGAAAGCTTATGTACAGTAATGGCCAGTTAAAGTCTTAAATGATTATTGTGAATATAAACGTTATGATATATTAGTGTCTCCACTTAAAAAAAAAACTTTATTTTATACAACTCAGAATGGCAAACAAGCTGACGGTCCACCTGATGGAAAGTGGTAACCGTCGCCTATAGACATGAGCAGTACCATGGACATAACAGAGTGTACTGTTTCGCCCATGATACCCCCATGCATTGCCATTCCTGAGGACTCGGGTGTTATTCTTCTGTACCCAGTAAATTCACGCCATATCCCACCCTTCAAACCGAAACACAGCCATGCAAACACAACTGCTTCACGGTTTAAACACGAATGGGACAGAGGTACCCAAGCAATCGACTTTTGTACAAAGTCTCCCTCTGGTAAAATTGAAGATATATTGAGACCTGTTATATGTATTTGTGAAAGAGATAATTTATTTATTTAATTATTATATATTGAAATTTAATTAATTAATTTAACCTTTTATTATATTTTACACTAACTTTTTGCTGACTACGTCATGTTTGTAGATTTCAGAAAATAGAGAAATCAATGAAACAGGTAGTCTATTTAATTGCTTTTCCTACTAGATAGTGTATCAAGATAAGAAAGGTGAGTGCAATGATAAATTTATAATGCTCACCAAAAATATGTATACAATATATATAAATTATAAATAAATAAATAAAACATACAATGCATTTAAATTAGACCTTCAATATCACAATTGTGATAACCATATCCAATTTGGTGCAGTAGTTTTTGCATGATGCCAAAACAAATGTACAGACAGACAGAGAAAATTTCAAAAAAATATTTGTTTGACTACTATTACTCTTATTGAGATGTTATGTTAATTTTTCTTAAATATCTCTCATGTTGTTTATTAATGTTATGTTAGTTTTTTTTTTTTAATATTTCTTTCTCGTCTACAGACGTCCTATAGTTACAGTTTTATTATATTAGTCAGATAATCCCATTAATAAATCAATAATACCATGATCGCATGAGCGAAAAGGAATTCGTAGTAATGCTAGCAATATATTTTTTCAGGTCGACCGCCACATGGTTGGGGGGAAAGGGATTGTTAGTAATGAGGACCTGACAACCCCATTGCTAGCAATATACCCTTCCAGGTCGACCTCCTCGCGGTTCTCCCTGGCAATAATCTTGGGTTATTTCTTTTTGAATTCGTCACGATGGGTCACTTGACCTGCTATCATTCTCACCTATCTATCACTGGTGCCCCTTCTATAACCATAGCACAGACGGGGTTACTATTCCATCATTACCCATTGAAAATCGCCATATGGTTCCTCGTGGAAAATATCGTGATATATAATTGTTGAATTCATCACAATGGGCCAATTATCGTCATCATTAATTATGTCATATGATCATGGGCGGCGGTAGTCACTTACCATCAGGTGAGCCGCATGCTCGTTTGCCCCCTGTGTTGTAAAAAAAAACCTGCCTTCATCCTCACCTATCAACCCTCACTGGTGCCCCGCCAACGTATACCGATAGCGCAGACGGAAGTCACTATTTTATAGAGATGAAACTGCTAGTTTGGCCGGATACCGGATAGGCCGAATAGCCGGACATGCCGGATAGGCATCCGGCCGAATAGTAGTTATCTGGTATTCGGCCGGATAAGTATTAAGGCCGCCGGATAGTTACCGGATATCCGGATATACTGTTTTATTTAGACTTATTAAAAAAAAACCATTAGCATATATTAGCTTACCAACTCGGGAACACGGTACTAAGCGTCAACTCTGCTTACAGACGATGTATTCACAGGACCCCGCGCCCTTCCGCTCCTCGAGGTGGATGATCAGCTCACGTTCTTCTCCAGCAACGCGGCCGTACAGTATCTGTTCCCGATATTGGATTTGAGCACGGATGGACAGTGGTGAGTCAAATATTTATTTATTTATTTATTCTTTATTGCACAATAAAACTTTTTACAAATAGCGAGCTTAATGCCACATGGCATTCTAACCATTGGTTGAAAACAGAAAGCGTATGAAGAAGGGCAGATGTGGTGAAAAATATGTGACATAATTATAGTAACATACTGAAATAATTATACATAATACATAAGAAATACACATATAATACATAAACATATACGAAAACTTTGTACAAAAGTCGATTGCTTGGGTACCTCTGTTCTATTCGTGTTTCAACCGTGAAGCAGTTGTGTTTGCATGGCTGTGTTTCGGTTTGAAGAGTGGGATATGGCGTGAATTTACTGGGTACAGAGGAATAACACCTGAGTCCTCAGGTATGGCAACGCATGGGGGTATCATGGGCGAAACAGTATACTCTGTTATGTCCATGGTACTGCTCATGTCTATAGGCGACGGTTACCACTTTCCATCAGGTGGGCCGTCAGCTTGTTTTCTATTCTAAGTTGTAAAAAAAAAAACTGCGGCTGCCAGAGAGGGAAAGGGATTGTTAACAATGAAGTTTGACAGCCCCATTGCTAGCAATATGCGTTATTAGGTCGACCTCCACGTGGTCCCCCTGGAAACCATCGTGAATAATTCTTGTTGAATACGTCACGATGGGCTAACTGACCAACTTCATACTGATAGCGCGGGTAGAGTTACCATTTCATTATCATCCGTTAAAAAAAAACTGCGACTGCCAAGCGTGGGAACTATCAGACCCCCTTTATGGGCAGTACTATGTTCAGCAGCATACAGTTAACGTCTGATATGATGATGGTGATTATTTTACGAGAGGAGACTATAGATGGACTCTGTTCCATACATGTTTCTTGCAAAACCCCTCAAAAGAGTTGGGGGGGGGGGGATATGATTACTATTGCTTTGAAAGTGCCACACACACACACACTAATTCCTTGATCTTCTCAACTTCCTTGCAGCCAACAAATGCTGGAGTGGGAGGCGACACGCCTCCAGCCCGCCGTGGCGACGGTTCTAACCAGCAAATCAGTGCCGTCAGATCTGAAGCAAGCACTCAGTTCGTTACTGCAGACTGTTGACGACCTTCTCAGCAAATACAAATATATACTAGGTGTAAGTATTAAGTTTAAACATGTCATAGATACAAGATATAATCCGATATGAGGATACCAATCCACCGAAAAACCAAAGTTTTTTTTTTAATGGACGACAATGGAATGTTAATCCTCCGCCTGCGATAACGGTATATGCTGGCGGGGCGCCACTTAAGGGTGATAGGTGAGAAGAAAAGACATGCCAGTTAGCCCATCGTTATGAAAGCATTAGGAATTCAGCACGATGGTTTCCAGGAGGGACCATGTAGAGGTCGACCTGACAGGGTATATTGCTAGCAATGGGACTGATAGTCCGCATTACTAACGATCCTTTCCCTCCGAAGTTGAAGAGAAAGAAGAAGAAATGGCAATAGGCTGGTCTCATATTTCTAACGACCTATAACCTTTACGGAGAAAAGTTCTTGAGTGGCGACCCCGTACAGGCAAACGCAATACACTGCATTTGATCACTGAAATGATGACAACGACATGATGAATGATGTTACACGCTGAGCTTCGACCTTTTTGTATTGCTGCAGATCACACATAATAACACAATTATAAATCTTATGTTGTTTTATGTATTATCTATTCTTATGTACATGTTGTGTGTGATTAGTAACAAACAAATAAACGATCTATCTATCTATCTATGAAAGGACTATAATGATTAGAAATAAAATGAATCATTGTTTGGCCGGATACCGGATATTCACAAAAGCACGCGCGCATTCGCTTACACAAATACCCACGCACGCTCGCAGACGCACTCGCACGCAAACGCCCACGCACGCACGTATACGTATACACCCACGCACGCACGTATACACAGACACACACGCTTGAATGTGAAGGAAGCGAAAGAGGTTTGTTTGTATTTTGTTTTTTGTCGTTTCTGCTTACCCCAATGGGATACAGACAAAATTGTTCCTCTTTTATTTTTTTAACTAATATCATATCAGCCTTTAACTGTCCACTGCTGAACATAACCCTCACCCTTGGGGGGTTGACAGTAGTTGCCATTCTTGGCAACCGCAGCTAGGCTTTGGAGAATTGAGATGAGATGGAGATTTTTGATAGGAATCAGCAGTAAACTTTAAAAACGCTCGAGCACAAAAATTCATGGAAAGGTTGCAGTGTCACAGTTTTGTCTGCCTGAAAAAAAGCTAGTTTTGTAATAATAATAATAAACTTTGGAGATATTTTAAGAGGGACGCTGCTGCCCATCCCTCGTCCTCCCTTAGTCGCCTCTTACGACACCCACGGGAATGGAGGAGGTGGCCTAATCTATGCTGGGATCATACGACCTAAATTTATTACATTCATTGATAATTGTAAATTGCAGGATAAACTGTCAGCAGTGGATATATCAGTTTGGAGTACTGTCTACCCCCTCTACTACAACAAGGAGCTCAACCAGCTATACCTGAGCCAATTCGTTCACATCAAGCGCTGGGTGGACGAGTTGGCCGCCGCTAAAGCTGTACAGGTTGTACAACTTTACCATTAAAAAAAAAATTATGCAACTTAGAATGGCAGACAAGCTGACGGCCGACCTGCTGGAAAGTGGTAATCGTCGTCTATATACATGAACAGCATCATGGACATAACAGAGTATAGTGTTCTGCCCATGATACCCATGGGGTGTTGCCATTCCTGAGGACTATGGTATATTTTTTTACAATGGTGATAATGAAATTGTAACCTCGTCTGCGTAATCGGTATACGCTGGTAACGCACCATTGAGGGATGATAGGTGAAGATGAAAGCAGTTTATTTAGCCCGTCGTGACGAATTCCACTAGAATTAACCACGATGGTTTCCAGGGGGAACCATATGGGGGTTGACCTGATAGGGTGTATTGCTAGCAATCCCTTTCTTCCCCCATAGGGGACTAAGATGTTATGCCTCTGTACCCTGTAAACTCACTGCCATATACCACCCTTGACCCGTGAAACGTGTCGCAAAACGTGCGTGAACGAAATGGCAGTCAAAGATAGATGTCTAATATGAAAGATTGTGGAACTTCTGCTAGTAATAGTGGTGGTCAATCTTCGAGTGTTGGCAGTCGCACACATACTGATGGTAGCGGAATTATAGAAAATAATTCGAATTTAAGTAACTGGTATTTTTTTTATTAGGAAGCAGTCACACAATGGAATGGTTCAGTAAACGGGCCATTCGGTGCATCATCAGCCCTGGGCATTCCTCAGGTGTCGAGCCTCGTATCTCCTGTGGGGTTAGTATTTGTTTTTATTTATTTATTTAAACTTTAATGCACAATTATCACTTCATAATATAAAATAAAGTTGCCTGGAAGAGATCGCTCTTAGCGATAAGGCAGCCCATTATTTTCTCACTGTGATCATTTCTTGTAATTGTTTATATTTATAATAAGTTTATTATTGTAATCTTTTGGAAGGAACAATAAACAGTATCTATCTATCTATCCTCAGGTCCCCAGACGAAGCGGAGTTGGGTGTGACAGCTGAGGAAATAGAAGCGGCCAAAGACAGCTGGTTGAATGGGCTGAGCAAGCTGGACGAACCATCGAAGGAGGAGAAAGTTGTGTAGGTATCTGAATTTATATATTTCTTATCTACCTTGTACAATATATATATGACATGAGCAGTACCATGGATATAATAGAGTATACTGTTTCGCCCATGATACCCCCCATGCGTTGCCATTCCTGAGTACTCAGGTGTTATTCCTCTGTACCCAGTAAATTCACGCCATATCCCACCCTTCAAACCGAAACACAGCCATGCAAACACAACTGCTTCACGGTTGAAACACGAATGGGACAGAGGTACCCAAGCAATCGACTTTTGTACAAAGTCTCCCTCTGGTAGCCTACCTTACCTACCTTAGGTAAGGCGTAGCAGCATAGTAGTTAATTTGTATACAGAAAACCGGAGCGGACCGTGCGTTTTGTGTGCGCGAGTTTTATCAGAACAACAATTCGGCAACCGTTGCGAGGCGTAAATTTCGAGAACACAAAGGTTTACACAACTTTGATGACACCCCAGCTCTCCAAACGATTAAGAATTGGGTTGCTAAGTTCGAGGAGACCGGTTCGACGTTAGATAAACCGCGGTTGGGTCGCCCAAGGACATCACGTACGGAACAAAACATCGACACAGTGGCACAATCTATTCGTGAAAATCCTACACAGTCAACTCGTAAGCGTTCCAGTGCATTAAACGTATCCAGGACATCGTTACAATGGATTTTGAAGAAATATTTACTTATGCACCCTTACAAAATTCAGTTGGTGCAAGATTTAAAAGAAACTGATGCTATTCAGAGAGTGAATTATGCTAATGAAATGTTTAATCGGTTTACTTCGTTCAATAACATAATGTTCTCTGATGAGGCACACTTCCACATTAACGGACATGTTAGTAAACAAAATTGCCGCTATTGGAGCCCGATTAATCCAAAACTTAAGCACCAGAAGCCCTTACATAGCCCTAAAGTTACAGTTTGGGCCGCTATGTCAGCCCATGGCATCGTAGGGTCTTACTTTTTTGATGACGGCAGAGGGCGTGCTGTTACTGTTACTTCGGAGCGATATGTGGCCATGATCGAGGAGTTTTTCACACAAAAATTGCAAAACTTTCCAGGCTTTAATGCCCGAACATGGTTTCAACAGGATGGAGCAACTTCCCATACCTCCAATACTGCTATGCCCGTTATCCGTCAACTTTTTCCAAACAAAGTTATCTCTAAGAGAGGAGACATTTCCTGGCCACCACGTAGCCCGGATCTGACTCCAATGGATTTTTTTTGTGGGGCTACCTTAAGGCTAAGGTGTACGACTCTAACCCGCGGTCAATTAATGACCTAAAAGAAAACATCCGCAGAGAAATGGCAAGCATTTCAGCAGTGACGTGCCGCGCAGTCATCGACAATTTCAGAAGGCGTTTGCAAGAGTGTCGTGACTGTAACGGATTACATTTGGACGACGTTATTTACAAAAAATAATTCCCGTTTTTCTAGCTATATTTACAAATAAAAATATTATTCATAGTGTAATTAGTTTTATTTTAATTAATTTTTTTCATTACTAAGGACTTATGGACCACCCTGTATATCTCTGAGGAATTGTTCAGACTGATACCTGCTGCTCATTTTCACCACCGTACAACCCACCATAAACTAAAGTTCTATCCCAACCATCTGGACGAGTGGCGGTCCTCCACCGTGCGTTTTTCAAGGCACTTTTTTCCACGCACAACCACTCTTTGGAATCAACTTCCAGCAGCAGTATTTTCGAGCCGATACGACAACATAACCTTCAAGAAAAGAGCACATTCCTTTTTAAAAGGCCAGCAGTGTATATTGTTTTTCTTATATATCTTCTATGTACAGACAGACTAGTTATGAATTTATTATAGTTATATGTATTGATAGATAGGAACAATGACAAGAAAAGAAAATATATAAAAAAAAATAACAGGCATTAATGGGGGGGAAAGGGATTGTTAGTAATGGAGACTGAGAATCCCATTGCTAGCAATATACCCAACCAGGTCGACCTCCTCACGGTTCCCTCTGGAAACTATCATAGTTAATTCCTGATGAAATTCATCATGATGGGCTAACTGGCCTGTTTTAATTCTCATCTATCACCCTTCACTGGTGCTCCGCCAGCGTATCCCGTTAGCGCAGGCGGAGTTACCATACCATTTTCACTCATCAAAAAAAAAACAGGCATTATTGCTAAAATTGATTAAAAAATATTAATCTAATGAATTAATCTAATCCACTTTCAGGTTACCAATAGAGGGCCGCAGGAACGTCCTGATCACCTCCGCCCTGCCGTACGTCAACAATGTACCGCATCTAGGCAACATCATAGGCTGTGTACTGTCCGCTGATATATTCGCCAGGTAAGCGATTTATAAACAAGGTTTTCCGCGGCTTTAACCCTTTGAATAAGTATATAAAGTGTCCTATGTACTATGGTACATTATAAACTACCCGTGTACCGAATTTTATTCAAATATGTTCTCTTGGAGTGATGATGAAAGATCAGCTTGCCCTTCTTTCCGTTGCTTCTCGTTGGTGACGTAAGAGGCGACTAAGGGAACTTTATGGTCGAGGGATCGGCAGCAGCGTCCCTCTTAACATATGACTGAAGCCTGACTGCGGTTGCCAACCCGTCAGCCAAGCGTGGCAACCACTGATAATACTCCTCTTTATGGGGGAGGTTTCAGGAGGTTCGGCAGTGAACAGTTAAAGGCTGACCCGATAATGAGGGTTGGCCAAATGTAATTATATTGTAAAAGGTGGACTTAATGCTTACATAGTTAACGTGTTTTTATATGTTCCTATAGACATGAGCAGTACCATGGACATAACAGAGTATACTGTTTCACCTATAATACCTCCCATGCGTTGCCATTCCTGAGGACTCGGGTGTTATTCTTTTTAGTTATATACAACTTAGAATGGCAAACAAGCTGACGGCCCACCTTATGGAATGTGGTAACCGTCGCCTATAGACATGAACAGTACCATGGATATAACAGAGTATACTGTTTCGCCCATGATACCTCCCATGCGTTGCCATTCCTGAGGACTCGGGTATTATTCCTCTGTACCCGGTAAATTCACTGCCATATCCCACCCTTCAAACCGAAACACAGCCATGCAAAACAACTGCTTCACGGTTGAAACACAAATGGAACAGAGGTGACCAAGCAAACGACTTTTGTACAAAGTTTCCCTGTGGTAAAATATGGCCTTGTTTACAGGTACTGTCGAATATGCGGTTACAATACGCTGTTTGTGTGTGGCACGGACGAGTATGGTACAGCCACCGAGACCAAGGTACGGCCTTCTAATTTGGTATAGTTTATTTTAGTGGAACTCGAGGAGATGAAAAAAGGAAGTGTAGGAATGTCTTAATTTTTTTTTATACAACTTAGTATGGCAAACAAGCTGACGGCCCACCTGATGGAAAGTGGTAACTGTTGACTATAGATATGAGCAGTACCATGGATATAACAGAGTATACTGTTTCGCCCATGATACCCATGCGTTGCCATTCCTTAAGACTCAGGTGTTATTCCTCTGTACCCAGTAAATTACGTCTCAGTTATCTGTCAATTTTGACAACGCATGCGTGACATCCCTAGTGTTGCAGGCGGCTCTAGACTACAGTGACCGTTTTACCATCAGTCGGGCTATTTGTTTATTTCTCTATTAATATTACGTCATGATCATCATCTCAGCCATTATCCGTCCACTGATGGACATAAGCCTCCCCCATAGACTGCTATAAAGAATGGTCCTGAGCCACCTGCATCCACTGACTCCCCGCAATGCATTTGAGGTCGTTACTCCATCTAGTGTGGAGTCGTTCTACACTGCGTTTGTCCGTACGGGGTCGCCATTCAAGAAGAAGAAGATCTCCCCATCGGTTGTCGGTTCTTCAAGCTATGTGACCAGCCCATTGCCACTTCAGCTTGCTTATCCTTCAGGCTATGTCAGTGACTTTGGTTCTTTTGCGGATATTCTCATTACGAATTCTGTCACACAAGAAAACTTAATTAATTATTAAATTAAATAAATACGTATTTATAATTCGACAGGCGTTAGAGGAGGGCGTGACTCCGAGACAGATCTGCGACAAGTACTTCGAGATACACAACGCTGTGTACCGCTGGTTCGACATAGGCTTCGACTACTTCGGACGGACCAGCACCGACCAGCAGACTGAGTGAGTTTACAATTTAACTAGCGACCCGCCCCGGTGTCGCACGGATGGATAGAAAGATGAATTATATTTTTTTTAATGGATGACAATGGAATGGTAGCCCCGCCTGTGTTTTCTTTTTTCTTACAACACAGGGGGCAAACGAGCATGCGGCTCACCCGATGGTAAGTGACTACCGCCGCCCATGATCACCCACAACAGTAGAGGCATTGCAGATGTGCTGCCGGCCTTTTAAAAAGGAATATACTCTTTTCTTGAAGGTTATGTTGTCGTATCGGTTCGGAAATACTGCTGCTGGAAGTTGATTCCAAAAAGTGGTTGTGCGTGGAAGAAAATGCCTTGAAAAACACACGGTGGAGGACCGCCACTCGTCCATTTCGGTATACACTGGCGGGGTATAAATACGAATAAATACGGGCTGTTAAATAAAAATAAAAAAAGAATAAAAATATTCCCTACAGGAATCTCTTTGATAAATGCTCTACTGACGTTATAATTGAATCCATTGCCCCACAGCGGAATACTGTATCGTAGTTTATTTATTTACAGGATTTCACAAAAAATGTTCCTGAAACTGATGGAGAACGGATTCATCAGCAAACAGTCTGTCGACCAGCTATTATGTGAGAAGTGTGACAGATTCCTTGCTGACAGGTGGGTAGATTTTTTTATGATACTTAGAACAGAACGACAAACAAGCTGACGGCCCACCTGATGGAAAGTGGCAATTCTAATTGCTATGTTTATCTAGCCTTAAACTTATTTATGGCATAGTGTTTTATTATCTATGCTTACAGCATTGTATCTTAGATTATATAGATAGTCTTCATACAAATAATTCGAGAGGGGGGAAAGGGATTGTTAGTAATGGAGACTGAGAATCCCATTGCTAGCAATATACCCAACCAGGTCGACCTTCTCGCGGTTCTCCCTGGAAACTATCATGCTTAATTCCTGATGAATTCATCATGACGGGCTAATTGACTTATTTTCATTCTCATCTATCACCCTTCATTGGTGCTCCGCCAGCGTATCCCGTTAGCGCAGGCGGGGTTACCATACCATTTTAACCCATCAAAAAAAAATCGAGAAAAGCGGCTCAACTTTTTCATACAATTTTACATGATAAATAGTTATGAGTGATTCCTTTATAACTTCTATATTTATTTTGATTTACAACTGTTGCATCTTTTTAATGCAAAAAAAGTCATTCTATTTATTAAATAATTCTATTTATTAATCAAATTGTGGTCGCAAAGCTAGTAAGTAAATAAATAAGGTGGGCCGTATACTTGATTGCCATCTCAGTGGTTTACAAAAATTCATTTATTCATTAGATTTTAAGCCAAATCGACTTAAAATTGGCAACATCTCAATAACTTCTTATTCAAAACAGATTTGTAGAAGGCACGTGTCCACACCCCGGATGTGGGTACGACAACGCGCGCGGCGACCAGTGTGACAAGTGTGGTAAGCTGATCAACGCGATAGAACTGATCGAGCCTCGATGTAAGGTCTGCGGACACAAGCCCACGGTGAAGCCCAGCGAGCAGCTGTTCATCGAATTGGGGCAGGTGGGTGTGACAAGCGTGGCAAGTGTGGCAAGCGTGACGTAAGTGGTGAGATTGGTGAAAGTGGTAAGCGTGACAACAGTCATTAGTTTGGCAAACGTGACAATAGTGGTGAGCGTAAAAGTGCGTGAAGAGTGGTAAGTGTAATGAAAGCGGTAATCGTGACAAGCAAGTGTGACAAGTATAATAAGAGTGGTGAGTGTGGCAAATGTACTAAAAGTAGCGAGTTTGACGACATTAATGAGATTGACTAGTTGCACGAGTGTGAGGATTAGTCAGTGATGTCACAAGAATGAAGACAGCAAGCAATCTTTGTCACATTTATGACATTGCAGCTTTGTCACACTCGTGACAGTTACCATATGTGGCAAAATATTCATCTTACAGTTGGAGCCCTCTCTCCGGACGTGGATCAGCTCGACAGAACACCAGTGGTCACCACCGGCCAGGGCTGTCACACGCGCCTGGCTGCGGGAATCTCTCCGAGCCAGGGCTGTCACTAGAGATCTCAAATGGGGTGTACCAGTGCCCATAGATGGTTTTAGAAATAAGGTATGTTGGATGTGACATATGTGATGTGTTTTGCTAGTCATATGGTTTTTATTTATTCTTATTGGTTACAAAGTAAAATAGCAGCTTGCGATATATTATATTATAGGGGGAAAAAGATTTTTTAGTATTTTAGTAATGGGAATTAGCAGTCTCGTTGCTGGCAATATAGATAGATAAATAGATACTCTTTATTGTTTCCTCCAAAAGATTACAATAGTAAACTTATTATGGATACAAATAATTACATTCACATAAAAATTCATCATGATGGGCTAACTGGCCCGTTTTCATTCTCATCTATCACACTTCACTGGTGCTCCGCCAGCGTATCCCGTTAGCGCAGGCGGGGTTACCATACCATTTACAACCATTAAAAAAAAGACCCCCCCAAGGGGGAGGCTTATCTTTAACAATGGACAGTTAAAGGTTGATATAATGTAATATGTTTTCCAGGTATTTTACGTGTGGTTCGATGCACCAATTGGCTACCTGAGTATAACTCAAGTCGCAACTAAGCAGTATGAGAAATGGTGGAAACCGGATAAGCAGTACGACGTGAGTATACCTTACAATCGACTTCAAATAATTATGTTGATAAATGACTTCATGATAATCTGTTATTATGATAAAATCAGTTATTTTGATTTAAAAACTAAGCTTTAAAATTAGTCTATTGAACCAATTTTGGTAAATTTTCTTTGGGACCAATATACAAGTGTGTCCTTTCAGATAAACATCCTTTCAGATAAATAAGTTCAGAACAATGGTCTGAATTCACTGTGTCAGTTTTTGCCAACCTGTCCCTTACATCCTGTATGTTTATATATCTACACTAATATTATAAAGAGGAAAGATTTATTTTTTTGTGTATGTATGTTTGTAATGAATAAACTCAAAAACTACTTTGCCGATTTCAAAAATTCTTCCACCATTAGAGTGCTAAAGCTAAGTAACATAAGCTATATTCATTGCTAGAAAAGATTAGGTATCCTTACTAAAACTTTAGTAACGTAACTCAAGGTGTAAAAAAATGCTATAAAACATCTTTGGTCGCGTGCGCTGCGGAAACTATTGGTGATAGAACAAAAGTATGTTGTACAATATTGAAGGAAATATCAATAACTACAATTTCGCGATACTATATGTCCAACTATTGTCGTTATATCACAATATATATATATATATATATATATATATATATATATATATATATATATACTACTGCATGTTGCAGGTGAAACTATATCAATTTATGGCGAAGGACAACGTTCCGTTTCACGCGATCATGTTCCCGGCCACGTGTTTGGGCATCAACGAGGGTCACGTGCTCGTCAGCCATCTTTACGCGACAGGTGCGTACTGCAGCTTAGATTATATAGATACAGTGTCTCCATATAAATGCTTCGAGTAAAACGGTTCAAATTTCATACAATTTTGCGTGATAAATAGTATTTTTTTTTATTTATTTATTCATTAGTACATACGAGTATATGTGTACATGGCGGACTTAATGCTGAAAGCATTCTCTCCCAGTCAACCATAGGCAAGTGTCAGAATACTCGAATGCGGTACTAGTAATTATTGCTATACATACATACTAAAATTACATATATAAATGAATAAATATATATGAATAACAAATATACTTGCACATATATGAAATCACAGTTATGAGTGATTTCTTTATAACTTCTATATTTACTTTTAAATTTATATTTTCTCCATCTTTTTAATGCGTAAACACTCATTTTATTTTGTTTTACAACTATTGCATCTTTTTATTACAAAAATAAAATTATTAAATTAAAAATAAAAAATAAAAAATTAAAACCTCATTTTATTTATTAAATAATTAAATATAGATACGTCAAGACACATTGTGTGCGTAAGTATATAGAGCACTGATAAAAACAACGAGTCAGCTAATTTGACAATTGGCTGACAAAAAGTTGACACGTTTTTGAGACTCGATGCTTATATATATATATATATATATAATCTTAGATTGCGACATTACCTCATATTGTTGACCGGTAGTGGCGTGATGGGTACCGTCTCGTTGAGTTCCCTAAAATATTGTTGAGCGCAATGATGGCTGGCTCATCCGTCATACTCGTGAACGGGTGCCGCTGATACTGGTCTGCTCATGTCTGCCTGTTTATTTTCCATTTAATAATACATATAAATAGTGCTTAATTCTAATTATAATCACAGTTCTCATGCAATTGTAAAATTATCTTGTACATAATAATTTGAAAAGAGTAGCTGTTGAGTTTCTTGCGGTCTCTACTAACCAGATAACAACATTCCGAACCTAAGAACAATGAATTACATAGAAGGAGCGATAAAATTGTCAATTCATAGCAGGCTAGTGCACAGAAAATGTTATACGGCCGTATAACCCTACCAAATTCAGATACAACCCGCTTGCATACTTTCTACATAAACTGTGTCCAATATATAATCTAGTAATGTAAAATTTGTCATTGACAAATAAATGACATATCAAACATTTTCTATTACACTAGCTTGTTATGAATTGAGAAAAATAACAACTGATGGTGTATCTTTCGTCCTTTTTTTACTAATTATATTTGCATAAGAAGAAAGGAGGCAACCATATGATTTACATTTGTAATTCCTTGTTCTTAGTTCCGAACCCAGCGGTAGAATTATAAACAATTGACGATTTAAACGAGTCTATTTGAATAGAGATTGTTTCTATTTCAATTTTTTTTTTTATACAACTTAGAATGGCAAACAAGCTGACGGCCCACCTGATGGAAAGTGGTAACCGTCGCCTATAGACATGAGCGGCACCGTGGACATAACAGAGTATACTGTGCTGCCCTAATAAGATTTTAATAGTGGTACCTGTGAATTATAACATTTAGTGCATATAATTTATGCAATTTTTCTTCTTCTCATACTCAGAATACCTGAACTACGAGGAAGGCAAGTTTTCGAAGTCCAGAGGTGTTGGTGTGTTCGGTACAGATGCACAGGTACTGCAGTATTTTTTTTTTCCACAATGAACTGTTTAGACTGTGACTGTGTGTGACTATTTGGCATTTTAACTTAATTTTGTTATCCTTTAACTTAAGTTTGTTCATAGCTAGTTAATACGCGTGACTTCTTCCGCGAATGATTGATCATTGATTAAACAAAAGCCGTGTGGTTCCGGCATAGAATGTGCTAACCCCTCCTTATAGGGGGGCAGGGATTGTTAGTAATGCTGACTACCAATCCCATTGCTAGCAATATACCCTGCCCGGTCGTCCTTCACGTGTTTCCCACTAGAAACCATAGTGCTGGATTCCAGATGTATTCATCACGATGGGGCTAACTGACCTGCCTTTTCATTCTCACCTATCATCTCTCACTGGTGTCCTACCAGTGAATACCGTGAACGCAGACGGGGTTACCATACTACTATTGTCCATTAAATTGCATTATTGCAATTGCAAATTGCGGTATTGCAGGCGTTCATAGGCTACGGTAACCGCTTACCATCAGGTGGGCCGTATGCTTGTTTGCCACCTCAGTGGTATAAAAAAAAATCCCTCCTTGATTACTAGCAATATACCCAACCAGGTCGACCTCCTCGCGGTTCCCCCTGGAAGCTATCATGGTTAATTCCTGATGAATTCATCATGATGGGCTAACTGGCCTGTTTTCATTCTCATCTATCACCCTTCACTGGTGCCCCTCCAGCGTATCCCGTTAGCGCAGGCGAATTTACCATACCATTTTCACCCATCAAAAAAAATCCCTCCTTTCCCGTGGGTGTCGTAAGAGGCGACTAAGGGAACATAAAGATTGAGGGATGGGCACCAGCGTCCCTCTTGAAATACCATCAAAGCCTGTTGTTGCCAACCCGCCAGCCAAACGTGGCAACTACTAAAACCCCTCTCTATGGATAAGCCCTATATATAAATATATTTTTATTTTCAGCCAGTAACAGTCTTTAAATGTTGAGGGAAAGGGATTGCTAGCAATGGGTTTTGACAGCCCCATTGCTAGCAATATGCCTTATTAGGTCGAGCTCCACGTGGTTCCCCTTAGAAACCATCGTGGTTAATTCTATTTGAATTTGTCAAGATGGTACCGATTTATCAGTGTGTACCAATAACGTAGGCGGGGTTACCATACCATTATCTCCCATTAAACCCACTAGATGGAGTGACGACCTCAAACGCATTGCAGGAAGTCAGTGGATGCAGGTGGCTCAGAACATTCCTTGTGACAGTCTATGCGGGAGGCCTATGTTCAGCATTAGAATAGAATAGAATAGAATAGAATAGAAAATCATTTATTCAAATAAACTTACATTGAAGCACTTTTGAAAAGTCATTACATTTTTTTTAATTTACCGCTCGTTCGGAAAGCTGTCTCATCACAAGAAGAACGAGCAAGAAACTTGCGTGATGCTCTTTTAAATAATTTTATTATTATTTTACATTTTTAAGTTATATTGTGTGAATACAAACCACCAATTAGCACTAATTCAATTAAATACTCAAAAAGAAAAAAAAAAAAAATTGAATACATAACCAACTGGTTAAACAATTAATAAGAGAAAATCAGTCATAGTGATTAGAGCAGACCAGTCCCTACAAGCAGCACCCGTTCACGAGTATGACGGATGAGCCAGCCATCACTGCGCTCGACCATATTTTAGGGAGCCCAATGACCCGGCCCACCACGCCGCCACAAGTCTGGACATTTTAGTGAGCATGACTACTCAAAACACTAGACCACGTCAAAGCTACTCACAATTGCCATCTGATAGTTATAGTATTCACATTTTACATAAGAATGCATGCGGCAATTAATACAAAAAACCGCTACGCTTTCATATTTCTAAAATTAATCAATTAAATCAAGAAAGCAATGAGAAAATAAAATTATAACGTTGTATGCTAATAAACTAATTATTTACTTGATATGTTGTCATCTATGAATTCGTCTATCCTGTAATAGGCTTTCTTACATAAAAATTGTTTAATATAAGATTTGAATTGCCTCTCTGTCAGATTTAATGCAGATTCCGGCAGTTTATTATAAAATCTTATGCAATTACCATAGAATGAATTACTGATTTTGTGCAGACGGCATTTAGGTAAAATAAGCTTATTTATATTGCGTAAGTTTCTACTTGTACAGTCTTTGAGTTTTTTAAAACTCGCTAAGTTCTTCCGTGTATACATAATATTTTCATAAATGTATTGTGAAGTAACTGTGAGGATATTTGAGTCTTTAAAGCACTGACGTAATGACTCTCTCGAACCCATACCATAAATAGAACGTATGGCTCTCTTTTGTAAAACAAATATAGTATTTATATCGGCTGCTTTACCCCACAGCAGTATGCCATAAGACATTATGCTATGGAAATAACTAAAATATACAAGTTTAGCCGTCGCCACGTCTGTTAATTGCCTAATTCTTCTAATTGCATATGCAGCAGAACTGAGTCTACTGGCCAATTTTGAAATATGGGGCCCCCAGTGTAATTTCGAGTCCACTGTTATACCTAAAAAAACTGTATCATTAACAAAATTTACTATTTCGTCATTAAGCAATAACTGTGTATTTATTAGTCTTACATTAGGAAGTGTAAATTTTATACACTTTGTTTTGCTGGAATTTAATAATAGGTTATTACATGTAAACCAATTTAATATTGCAGACATAGCACAATTTACATCGTCTAATTGATTACTTTGACGTCCAATTTTAAACACTAACGAAGTATCATCCGCAAACAGCACTATATCTGCAATTTTCTCTACCATAAAGGGAAGGTCATTTATGTAGATTAAAAAGAGAAAGGGGCCTAAGATTGACCCTTGTGGAACGCCCATCTTAATATTAGCTCCCTTAGATTTTACACCGTCAATATCTACAGTTTGAACCCTATCCTCTAAATAAGTTCTCATTAATTTTAGATCATTATCTCTTATACCATAATGTTCGAGCTTGTACAAAAGCGTTTTATGATCCACACAATCAAATGCCTTTGATAGGTCACAAAAAACTCCGAGTGCATCCTGTGACCTCTCCCAAGATTCGAAAATATGTGTCATTAGCGCAACACCTGCGTCAGTGGTAGACTTGCCGGCGGTGAAACCATATTGCTGACTGTGAAGCAGTCCGTTAACCCTGAAGTGATGTAACATTTGATTTAACATTATCTTTTCAAACACCTTACTTAGAACTGGCAAAATAGATATAGGTCTATAGTTCCCTGGCTCAAATTTATCTCCTGATTTAAATAGTGGGATTAATTTGCTAAATTTCATTAAATGTGGAAAAACGCCATTATCAATACATTTATTAAAAATAGTGGCTAGATATGGAGCAACAATATCTATGAAAGAACTAACTACTTTTACAGACATGCCCCAAAGGTCTTCCGTATTTTTTTAATTTAGCTGTTTGAATATTTTTATGATATGAAAGGGGCTAACATGTGAAAATTTAAATCTTAAAGAACAACAACCGATATTAGTCTCTAGTAATTTTTTTGCTCGAGATTGAGATGAGTCCAGAGAAGATGTAATATCAATCGGAATATTAGCAAAAAAATCTTCAAAAATATTAACTACATCTTTTGTTGTTGATATTAATTTATTATCATAATTTAATGTAAATTGATTACAGGCTATTTTAGATCTTCCAGTTTCTTTATTTATAATGCTCCAGATGGTTTTAATTTTGTCAGAAGACTGCTTAATTTGTTTATTAAAATAATTAGACTTAGCCATAATACAAACTTTTTTAAAAATTTTAGAATAATTTTTTACATAAGTGGTGAATTTGTCATCAAATCGATATTTTTTTTGATCGTATAAATCAAACAAAATATTTCTACTTTTAAGTATTCCTACTGTTGCCCATTCCGTGAATTTAGATTTAACATGAACTTCTTTTTTCTTGAAAAATTGTTCATATTCTCCGGATAAAATATTAATTAGCTTGGTGTAAAGATAATCAGGATTATTACTAGATTGTAACAGCAAATCCAATTTATTTTTAATCGCGCTTTTGTATTTATTAATATTGTAAACATTTATTTGTCTTTTTGATTTTTTATTATTGTTGACTTTATTGATTTGACTGCTAAACTTAACAACTTGACCACAGTGATCTGAAGGAAGTTTATTTATTATGAATTTTTCTGTATACTTTTACATTGGATTGGATTTGATTTTACATTGGACGGATAATGGCTGAAATAATGTTCTAATTATCATTTCAGCCATTATCTGACTTTAAGTTTATTGCACAGGAAACTGGTATACCATCAGACGTGTGGCGGTTCTACCTGGCCAGCATCAGGCCGGAGACATCGGATTCCAGTTTCAGTTGGACCGAATTGGGAACCAGGTGGGTTTCGTCCCTTTTTAGGGCTTCGTCTCGAAATGGTAAGAAGGAACTAAGTGTTCCTAGTTTTGTTACTATTGCTAGTTTGTCCGTCTGTCTGTCTGTCACAGCGCTTTATATTAACAATGCATTATAAATGCTATCCATTTTAGATTTATGATGTTTAATATTCATAGAACAAGCGCTGCTAATACTCGGTTCGGGGGAGAGGGTGTTATTAATGGGGAGGTTAGTCCCCATTGCTTGCATATATCCTATCAGGTTATTATCCTTTTAGCGATAAGGTCGCCCATTGTTTTCTCACTGTGATTATTTCTTGTAATTGTTTACATTTATAATAAAGTTTACTATTGTAATCTTTTGGAGGAAACAATAAAGAGTATCTATCTATCAGGCCGACCTCCACGCGGTACCCCCTGATAACCATCGTGACTATGATTGAATTCGTCACGATGGGGTAACTGACCTGCCTCTTCATTCTCACCTATCACCACTCACTGGTGCCCCGCCAGCGTATACCGATAGAGCAGGCGGGGTTACCAATCCATTATCATACATTAAAAAAAGTACTTAGTTCGGCACTAGATGGCGCTGTCTAATAAGTGCAAGGTTGAGGGTATTCTTTCTTAATAGAAAAAAACTATGTATTTCAACAGAAATAACTCGGAATTGCTGAACAACCTGGGCAACTTCTGCCACCGTTCGCTCAGTTTCTGCGCGAACGCGTTCAAAGGCGTTGTTCCCGAGATCAAGCCCACACAGACGGACTACGAGCTGATGGCGTTGGTGAATAGAGAGGTCGCTGGTGAGTTGACACACAAGAAAACATAGTCTGTATAGTCGTAAAAACTGCAAATGCCTCATAAACTTGGCTGTTGAATTGTTTATTTATTTATTTATTTATTTTATTTCATACTTTATTGTACACAAAATTTAACAAACATATATCTGTAATCTATACTTATAATAAATCTGTAGAGAGATCAATTCTGTACATGAAATATATTTCCAAAATAACTATCAGCGGGTGATTAGTGATCGATACTGATGCCAAAAATGCAATCAGTGAAATTTTTGTCTGTCTTTGTACTCCTGCCAAGCGTGGCAACTATTGGCAAAGCCCCCCAAGGGGAGGCCTATGCTCAGCTATGGACAGTTATAGGGTGATATTTATATTTATTTTACTTTCTGTCTTGCCACTCACTACTTCCTATGCCACTGTGTTAGGTTTTTTTTTAATGGGTGATAATGGTATGGTAACCCCGTCTGCGCTATTGGTATACACTGGCGGGACACTAGTGAGGGGTGACAGATGAAGATGAAAGTAGGTCAGTTGGCCCATCCTGACGAATTAAACTAGAATTAGTCACGATGGTTTCCAGGGGGAACCACGTGAAGGTCGATCTGACAGGGTATATTGCTAGTAATAGGGCTATTTGACCCCATTACTAACAATCTCTTTCCCCCCCACTGTGTTAGGTTGACTGGAAGAGATCTCTTTTAGAGATAAGTTCGCCTTTGCTAACATTGTTATTAACTTATTGTTGTTACTATGTATGTGATTGTGTAAATATGTATGTGTATGTATATATATGTATATGTATGTATATATATGTATGTGTATATGTATGTATATATATGTGTGTATATATGTATATAATTTTTATATATTTATAATTTGCAAAAGATGCTTTTTTATTAAAAAGCACTATTATATTAACTTATACACTTGTACAACAATTAGTCCATTACCTTAAGGTTGTCTTGAAAAGATTGCTCTCAGCAATAAGACCGCCTCACTGTACTCATACAACTGTATCGTTGTGTTTGTAAATTGTCTTGTTTATTCCCTATATTGTATAATGCAAATAAAGTATACTCATTCATTCATTCATTCATAAATCATTACTATACTGCCGGTTCATAAGCTAAGACTAAATGTTTGTTTGTCAGCCTACGTCCAACATATGGAAAAGGGTCGGCTGCGAGAGGCGCTGAGGCACGTGCTGTCCGTGTCGAGGCTCGGCAACCAGCACATGCAGTCCGAGCAGCCCTGGGTGCTGCTCAAGGGATCCGATGATGACAAGTGAGTGCCACCTGCCATATAACAGCCATGTAAGACGGCTACCTCATGAGTGGGACAGAGGTATCCGTGCAGGCAATTTTTGTACAAACTCTCCCTCTGATTTTCATGGTGATGGTAATGTCACCGTCGGCAGTACACCTGCAAATACCGTTGGTGTTGTGGGTGATCATGAGCGGCGGTAGTCACTTACCATCGGGTGAGCTGCATACTCACCCGATGGTATTTATACAAACCGCAACGCATTAGTGAAAACCGCATTCAAATCGGTTAAACCCTATCTGAGATTAGCGTGCACAAACGTACAGACAAAAATTCCAAAAATCAATTCCAAAAATATAATAGTTTTTCTTATGTATCTTCCATGTACAGACTGCGAGCTATTACGATTTTACTATATGTATTTATTTTACATACAGGGAACGAGGCTCGACGGCGATAGGCGTGTGCTGCCAGTTAGTGGCGCTGCTGGCCGCGCTACTGGCGCCCTACGTGCCGCATACGGCTCGCCGCCTGCGCGAACAGCTCAACGTCGACCGAGCCGTGCTGAGGCTGCAGCCGCGGTGAGTGCACCTTTCAACCGACAGAAATTTCCGACCGTTATTCAATCCTCGCACGTTTTGCGACACGTGTTTCGCTGCTGTTAGCCATTCAGCGGCCAAACTGCGAATAAGTTACTTATTAAACTTATAAAATTAAAATATATAATTATAACTTTCAAGAAAAGAGCATATTCCTTTTTAAAAGGCCGGCAGCACACCTGCAATGCCGTCGGTGTTGTGGGTGATCATGGGCGGCGGTAGTCACTTACCATCGGGTGAGCCGGATGCTCTTAAGAAAAAAAATAATAATAAACAATATTATTTGTCAGGAACCCCTCACTGATCCAGTATCTCCCTGTCGGTCACAAGATCGGCAAACCCGAGCCGCTGTTCGCCAAAATCGAACCGGACCTGCTCGACCGACTGCGGGCCAAGTACGCAGGCACGCAGAGCGAGAGGGCCAATAAGGTACCATGTTCATTTTATTTATTTATTTATTTAAATATTTATATTTGAGGAAAGAAAGAGACAATTACAGCGGTTTCCTTCATTTTCTTTTTATACAACTTAGAATGGCAAACAAGCTGACGGCCCACCTGATGGAAAATGGTAACCGTCGCCTATAGACATGAGCAGTACCATGGACGTAACAATACACACACATACTGTTTCGCCCATGATACCCCCCATGCGTTGCCATTCCTGAGGACTCAGGTGTTATTCCTCTGCTCCCTGTAAATTCACGCCATATCCCACCCTTCAAACCGAAACACAGCCATGCAAACACAACTGCTTCACGGTTGAAACACGAATAGGACAGAGGTACCCAAGCAATCGACTTTTGTACAAAGTCTCCCTCTGGTGTGGTGCATTTTTGTTGTATTTTATTCAGAGAGAGACTGGTTGGAAACCAGCGCTGTGCAGCTGTACACTGGGACACTCACAGCGTCACCTGAGCCAATACCTTTTGCCTAATAAGAGACACTTCTTGTTTATGGGGAGGAGAAGGGATTGTTAGTAACGGGGATTAGTATCCCCATCGCTAGCAATATACCCTGTCAGGTCGATCTCCTCGTGGTTCCCCCTAGAAACCATCGTGCTGAATTCTAGGCGTATTCATCACGGTGGACTAACTGACCTGCTTCATCCTCACCTATCATCCCTCACTGGTGCCCGCCAGTGTATACCGATAGCGCAGGCGGGGTTGCCATTCCATTATCATCCCTATAAAAAAAAAACCCGCCTACCACGTGTGGCAACTATTGGTAAACCCCCTCCCCCCCTCACGGAGGAGGCCTATGTTCAACAGTGGATATTTAAGAATCTTGATACCTCGATCATTTAGTTTCCTTAGTTGCCTCTCTTTCCTACTATCTTACCATTCCATTATCATCCATTAAAAAAACCAAAAAAAAAAACTTGTATATGCATTTTCTGTATTTATTATTGTGATTGTATGTTTACTGGCAATAAATGTTTTTTTATACTATTCTATTCGAACAAAATTTTAAATTTATTATTATTAATAAACTAAAAATATCTTAAATTACAGATATTAAATATCTTAGGAGGTCGACCTGGTAGAGTTTATTGCTGGCAATAGACCTGTTAGAACCTTTACTAACAATCCCTTTCCAAAGAGTTTTGTTCATAGGCTACGGTAACCACTTACCATGGGGGGAAGAGATTGCTAGTAGTGCGGATTATCAGTCCCATTGCTAACAATATACCCTAACAGGTCGACCTCCCCGTGGTCCCGCCTGGAACCATCGTGCTGAATTCCAAGTGTATTTTTTTTTGATGGGTGAAAATGGTATGGTAACCCCGCCTGCGCTAACGGGATACGCTGGTGGAGCAGTAGTGAAGGGTGATAGATGAGAATGAAAACAGGCCAGTTAGTCCATCGTGATGAATTCATCAGGAATTAACCATGATAGTTTCCAGAGAGAACCGCGAGGAGGTCGACCTAGTTGGGTATATTGCTAGCAATGGGATTCTCAGTCTCCATTACTAACAATCCCTTTCTCCTCTCTTATTACAATTGAAGTTATAGTCACTATTAAAAGAAAATTAATGTTTTTTTTTTTATTTGTACAGGAAAATGGCGAATCCGCGAACCAGACAGTAGCTCAGCTGGAGTCAGCAATTGCGGAACAGGTAATCAGTGTGGGCACAGAATGGCCCACCTCTTCTTTTCCCGTGGGTGTCGTAAGAGGCAACTAAGGATCAACCATGAAGCAGTTGTGTTTACATGGCTGTGTTTCGGTTTGAAATGTGGGATATAGCGTGAATTTACTGGGTACGGAGGAATAACACCTGAGTCCACAGGAATGGCAACGTATGGGGGGTATCATGGGCGAAACAGTATACTCTGTTATGTCCATGGTACTGCTCACGTCTATAGGCGACGGTTACCACTTTCCATCAGGTGGGCCGTCAGCTTGTTTGCCATTCTAAGTTGTATAAAAAAAAAGTAAGGGAACTTAATGATCGAGGGAACGAGATTGTTCGATGTCCACTGCTGAACATAGGCCTCTCACATAAGGAGGGTTTTGCCAATAGTTGCCACACTTGGTAGGCGGGTTTTTTTATTATGAATCAACGATAAATTGGTCACGATGGTGTCCAGGGGGAACCGCGTGGAGCGTATTGATAGCGATGGGGACTAACCTCATTACTTACAATCCCTTCCCCCTGGTAGGCGGGTTGGCTTTAAGAGGGACGCTGCTGCTCGTCCCTCCACAATAAGTTCTCTTAGTCGCCTCTAACGACGCCTACAGGAAAGGAAGGGGTAGCCTATTCTATGGCCGCATCATACAACTATACAAACAGCACCATACACGTTTCAAAATACATGGACTGGGTGTCCACCTCCCATGTGTCGTACCTCCCATGAGTTGCCATTCCTGAGGACTAAAATGTTATGTCACTGTACTGTGTATTATCACAGCCATATCACATCCTTCAAACTGAAATAGCCATGCGAGTATAGCTGCATCACAGCTACACTAGTGGGACAGAGTTGGGTACCTCTATCCCACTCATGTATGCATATAGACTGTCCCTGTCCCGTATTAGAGTGACTTTTGTTTTTTTTATGCAACTTAGAATGGCGAACAAGCTGACAGCCCACGTGATGGAAACTGGTAACCGTCGCCTATAGACATGAGCAGTACCATGGACATAACAGAGTATACTGTTTCGCCCATGATACCCCCCATGCGTTGCCATTCCTGAGGACTCAGGTGTTATTCCTCTGTACCTTGTAAATTCACAGCCATATCCCACCCTTCAAACCGAATTAATATTATAAATATTTTTAATATTAACACTGATATTCATAAGTCAATTATAAACAGGGCGAAAAAGTGAGACAGCTCAAAGCGTCGACAAAAGACAAAACGGTATGGCAGCCGGAAGTCAATAAATTGCTAGAGCTGAAGAAGCAGTTAGCGGCTGCGCAAGCGCAGTCGAACGGGCCGAGCAGTGTTGCCAGCTTAGAGAAAGCGATCGCCGATCAGGTTGGTAAAAGTATTATTAAAATTGATTTTCTCCATTTTGAGTGTATAATAACACTAGTTTTAACCAACTTCAGAAAGAAAGAGGTTCTTTTTTTATACAACTTAGAATGACAAACAAGCTGATGGCCCACTTGATGTTAAGTGGTAAATTTATTACCAGAGGGAGACTTTGTACAAAAGTCGATTGCTTGAGTACCTCTGTCCCATTCGTGTTTCAATCGTAAAGCAGTTGTGTTTGCACGTCTGTGTTTCGGTTTGATTGGTGGGATATGGCAGTGAATTTACAGGGTACAGAGGAATAACACCTGAGTCCTCAGGAATGGCAACGCATGGGGGGTATCATGGGCGAAACAGTATACTCTGTTATGTCCACGGTACTGCTCATGTCTGTAGGCGACTGTTACCACTTTCCATCAGGTGGGCCGTCAGCTTGTTTACCATTCTAAGTTGCATCAAAAAAAGTGGTAACCGTCGCCTATAGACATCAATATAGTTTTCAATTCAGTTGGATTTTTGTGTTTGTTACCTGATAACTCCATCAGTCTCCATCATCACTGGTACCTCGCCAGCGTATACCGATAGTATAAGCAGGGCTACCATTCCATATTTAATCATTAGAAATACCTATCTGAGTACCAAATTTCATTCAAATTGTTTTTTTCGTTTTTGCGTGAAAGAGTAAGAAATATCTATCCATCCTTACAGACTTTCGCATTGATAATATTAGTGGAATCTTTTTAATCATATTTCATCATCATCATCATTATATCGGCCGTTAACTGTCCACTGTTGAACATGAGTTTTGCCACGCTTGGCAGACGGATTAGCAACCGCAGTTAGACTTTGATTATATTTTAAGAGAGACACTACTGTCCATTTCTCAACCATTAAATTTATTATAATATTTATTTAACTCTTTATTGCACCATTAATAAAAATATACAATGACAAGTGAATAATTAAACCGAAATGCAGTAACATATATACACATTGAAATATACACATAAAGGTACAAAAGGCGGTCTTATCGCTAGGGCAATCTCTTAATTAATTAATCATATTTATTTCAATTATATTTACATCACCAGGGTGATAAAGTAAGACAATTGAAGGCCACAACAAAGGACAAGTCAGTATGGCAACCAGAAGTGGACAAACTGTTGGCATTGAAAAAACAGTTGGCAGATGCGCAAGCGCAGACAAGTGCGCCTGCGCCCACTGAGAGTGTTGCCAGTTTAGAAAAAGCTATTGCTGAACAGGTAATAATATTATTAACTTGCTAATACAAACTATTGCAAATCAATTCCAATTTTAACATAATTCCTATTTTTTTTTTCATAAGTGCAGTATAAAATTGTTGTCTATGGATTGGATTGATATCGATATTAGATTCGAGAGTTGCCCTGCTGATGGCAAGTGGTAACCGTAGGTTTTTATTTTACTCATAATATAAAAAAAAACATAGATGTAAAATTCATTCGGCCATATTTTTTTCCAGGGTGACAAGGTTAGAAAATTAAAGGCGTCGACCAAAGACAAAGCGGTGTGGCAACCCGAAGTGAACGTACTTCTTGATCTGAAAAAACGACTGGCCGCGTTACAAATAAGCAAATAAATCTGTATTAATCGAATAGTATTTACAGTGGAATCTCGATTAACCGAATTGAATAAAACCATTGGTATTTCGTATAATCGAATATCCGGATAATCGATTTCAAAGTGAAATCAAACAATAATTAATTTTTTTTTAAAGCAAAGTGTTTTACATACGTCATTTAGACAGTACGATATAAAAAAAAAATAATTACGAGCTATAAACATAATGAATTACATAATACCTATTTACCCAATAATGCCATTTCTAAATCGGTAATTAGAGACGTGAATAATAAGTCCGGATAATCGAATATTCGAATAATCGAGATTCTATTGTATTTTAGCTATTGTATTATAAGAGACGTGTATGTGGAATGTGTGAAGTTACCTGTGGGTAATAAATGGGCCACTTTGATCCAGTGTTGCTTGTAATAAAAATTGTTTTATTAGTCAGTTATAATTATTTAGCTGATTAGAATTATTTCGTGATCTTAAGTCCAGTAATAATTTGTAATTGATAATACAATGGAATTATTTATTGATTCGACTCGATCAATATGTTGATGTGCAATTTAGTCGATTATAATCGAATCAATAATGTCGATTGATCGATAATAAGTACAGGAGTGTCTATATCGATTATATATAAATTGTTATAAGATTTTTTTTACACCATTAGTTACGTTACTAAAATTTTAGTAAAGATCTCTAATCTTTTCTAGCAATAAATATAGGCTACTCAGGATGAATGTAGAATTCTAATGGTGAAAGAATTTTTGAAATCGACCAAGTAGTTTTTGAGTTTATTCATTACAAACATACGTACACACAAAATTTCCTCTTTATAATATTAGTGTAGAAAATATATGTAACTAAATATAATCGTTTAAATTGCGTATCTTCACTTAGATTGATCCGTCGATATTTAGATTCTAGAGATCTACGTGACCAGTATCGATTTATTGATAATCGATCATATTAATTGGCATTATTATCGATTTATAAAATTAAACATTTTATATAACTGGTAGTACTAATGCGTTAAAATGACGCCCTCAGAATTAGATGCTTCTCAAAATGGACTGGGTTATATGGGTCATAATTTAATTGGTGGGAATTAGGTATTTTAACCCCATTCTGGAGACTGATATAGACGAAAGGGAGTTTTAGTGGAGCGTCAATAGATGGCGTTATTAATGATAATCTACGCTAACGTAGACAAATATTACCTCTATATTTGTTTGTCTTTCCAATAGACAACGCCTGGCGTACAATTTATTTTGGATTTAATGAAATACCTATGGCTGAACACGTGTTGAATAATTGAATACGGCACACAAGGACTTTTGTAAGCGGACAAATTGTTCCTCGTCCGCGCAGACTTTTATTGAAAAATTGATCTGTAAAATATTTGTTTTTCTAATTTTTGTTTAAAACTATTTCAACAAGAAGTTTAATTCGTCTTTTGTGTATCAAAATACATATGCACCTTCTTTTTTTTTAATTTAATTTATTGAAATCTTAAATTCTAATGTTTCATCAACATACTTCAAGTCTTTTTGTTTATGGTAAAATGATCAGGTAATAAAAAAAAAAAATAAGCACATCCGATAGTGAAATCGTCTATAAATTTCTGGACTGTGTACCAATTTTGTCAAAAAAGCGGCATGTTACTTTTGCCGTCTGGAGTAGCAGTATTGTGGTGTGACCGTGCGGTTTGCCTGACCGTTTTCCCCGGATAAAATTTTGTGAATAGTGCTACATAGCTACTATTTGGCCTTTTTGTTATTAAGTTTAGATAGGTATTTATTTATTTCCCCAAAGCTTGTGATATCAACATTTGATATTGCATTAAAACACGCAATAAAAATACATATACTGAATTTGTGAGTTTTATTAGCTGTGTGGTCCCGGCATGGATGGTTCTTGATGGGTGAAAATGGTATGGTCACCCCGCCTGCGCTAACGGGATACGCTGGCGGAGCACCAGTGAAGGGTGATAGATGAGAATGAAAACAGGCCAGTTAGCCCATCGTGATGAATTCATCAGGAATTAACTATGATAGCTTCCAGGGAGAACCGCGAGGAGGTCGACCTGGTTGGGTATATTGCTAGCAATGGGATTTTTAGTCTCCATTACTAACAATCCTTTTACCCCCGAAAAGGGATGGTTAGTAATGGGGTCCAAGAAGCCCATTGCTAGCAATACTTATTCTACGACCTCCACGCGGTTCTTCTTGGAAACTAGCATGCTCAATTCTTGTTAAATTCGTCATGGCGGGCCAACTGACCTGCCTTTATCTTCACCTATCGTGTCCCGCCAGCTAATAGCGCAGGTGGGGTTACCCATCAAAAAAATATGGAAGATGTTTTAGAGATGTTTTATGGAATGAGCTCTCTGCCGAGGTTTTCCCAAGAGCTTACAGCATGGGGTTCTTCAAAAGGGGAGTAAAGAGGTTTCTTCAGGGTCGGCAACGCGCGCGTAATACCCCTGGTATTGCAGGCGTTCATAGGCTACGGTAATCGCTTACCATCAGATGGGCCGTATGCTTGTTTGCCACCTCAGTGGTATAAAAAAAATATGTATGATTGTAGAAATTCTGGTAGTAATCACGAATCAAGTCAATCTTCGAGTGTTGGCAGTCACACATACTAATGGTAGCGGGATTAAAAAGAATTCCGAACAAATAACAAAAAAAATTTTGACACCATGACACAAAAAAATAAATATATTTAATTAGGTATTACAAAATACTTGAATTCATTCCTATTAATTGTGGATATCGCTTAAAATATTGAATATTATGTACATTCTCTTGGTAATATTTGATTCACTTAGAATTCCAAAGTTCAAAATATGACATCAATACAAAATTGATAACTTGAGAGTGCTCACAGCGACAAAATTTCGGCTTAACTACAAAATAAGTATAGCGTCATTGTTTTTCTAAGGTTTGTTGGGGGAGAATGCCCTTTAGTATTAATTTCAACAGATTTAAAAAAGAAGTATACACAAATACTCTTTACTGTTTCCTCCAAAAGATTACAATAGTAAACTTATTATAAATACAAACAGGAGGTTCTTAATTATAGTTCTTTTGTATGTTTGTCACCTCATAACTCCGTTAGTTGTAAACCGATTTGGAAAAATCTTTTTATTGGAAAGGATATACTTACAGAATGATCCCGCAGAATTGTCATAAAAATCGCTTTATTACTTTAGTTTTAGCTTTCAAATCAAATCAACTGGTTTTTTTTTTTTTTTTAGTACGTTTGTTCCGTTTGGAACAGGCTAAGGTCGGAGACCATGCTGCCTAGTCTTCAAAAAGATAATTTCAAATCAACTGGTATTGCCACAATTGAAGTAAGTTTTTTTTTTTTAAATAACCTACTAGTGTTTGGATTTTTTTTTATAATTTTAACTTTTTAATTCCCAAAGAGGGTTGACGTCAGGCAGGCGGCCGGTCGTAAAACTATAAGCCAAATCTTTTTGTAACATGGACAAAAAACATATTACGCCGACCCCATAATAAGTGGGATAAGGGTGGGACGATGATTACCTATTACATAATATTATTCTACAAAATATTATGCAGTAGATATAGAAATTGTTGATAAAAATTATTTCATTGGCCACTCACGTGAGTGTCAACATATTATATATCTTTTATAGCAAATTTTTTTTTTGTTTTGAATTGGATTCAGTAGTTAAATTTTTTAAACAAAATAATCTAGTATTGTAAAATTTGTCATTGATAAATAATTGACATTGCATGAAAAGAAAGGAGGCAACCATATGCTTTAAAGTTCCTTCTATGTAATTCCTTGTTCTTAGACCTATCCATATTTCCGATCAATTCTGGGATCACATTTGGGAGTAGATAGCTACAAAATCTGTCGCATTATATATATATATAAGATCAAATCTTATAAAGATCTGGATAAACCTAAACGCGTAGTGTAATCAGGTGAGATTTACGCGCATCACGTAGACCTACACGCGGGGACTACTAGAATCACATTTGTCTTTCCTTCTCATTACCCAACAATAGAGTTATGAAGTAACAAACTTTAAAAAAAAAACAATCTACTCCATTTTGAACAAAAAAAGTTCCGCGAGCAAAATAAAAACCTGTTTTGGTCCCAATGATTAGAGATGCGAAATGTTTTTTATTGCTATGAACACACTAAAGTAAATCAAACTCGAATCTGGGCAAAGCTACACAACCGACATATCGTGCAGTATAGACAAATTTATATCTTTCTCTTTATTATGCACTTTGACGTGTACTTTCAAACTGGACGCCTTTCTATACGCCTGGCCGCATGTGGTACAAACATATGGTCTTTCGCCCGTGTGACATCTTATATGACTGACTAGGTCGTTTCGTTGCACGAATGCCTTCTCGCAATGCGAACACTGGTATGGCTTCTCCCCTGTATGTGTTCTTCTATGGTTTTTCAATGTACTCGACGCTTTGAACCTCATGGGGCAGAATTCGCATGGGTACGGTCGCTCACCAGTGTGTATCCGGCGATGTTTGACCAATGAGCTGGACGTGGTGAAACCGTTTCCACAGTCGTCGCAAACGAAAGGATGCGCACCGCTGTGTTTCCTTTTGTGCGCTTGCAACTCGCCTTTGGTTACAAAGCTGGAAATTATATGAAAACAAATGATAAATTATTTTGCTTAAACAAGAGTAAAAATTACATACATATTTATAAAAGTTCATGTTACTTTTTTATTGCTGTGTGCCCCCGCATAGAATGGGTCATCTCGCCTTTTCCCACGGGTGTCATAAGAGGTGACTAAGGGAGGGTTAGGAATGTACAGCACTGTCCCTCTTAAAACATATAAAGCCTAACTGTGATTGCCAATCTACTTGCCAAGTGTGGCAACTACTAATATAATTTCCCAAGGTGGAAGCATGTTCAGTTTTAACAGCTGACATCAGCTATACACAAGAGTTGAGCTCATTTACTATTCCCAGCAGCAATAAAAATTGTAATAAAAAGAAATAATAACCTTCTTTCACAATCTTCACATTTGAATGGCTTGTGGCCCTGATGCCTCATCACATGCTGCTGCAAATTGTTGTTCTGACTAAAACCTTTTCCGCATATCGAACAGAGGTATGGTTTCTCACCCGTGTGAGTCCGCATATGGTCCGTAAGAGTAGATTGCATGTAGAATGACTTACTACAAATCTTACATTGGTGTTTTTTCTCTGTTTTATGACTTTCCAAGTGCAACTCTAAACTTTCTTTATTTGTAAAACTTGTAGTGCAGTACGTACAAGTAAACCCTTCATTGCGCGTATGCACAGATAATATATGATTGTCCAAATGTGCCTGGTGCTTGAATTCACGTTTACAAGTCACACATGTGAACATAACACTGTCCTTTACTTGATGATGTCTCAAATGGTTGGTGAGTGATGATTTCCTTGAAAATTTCCTATTGCACATAGAACACTGGTATTGTATTTCTTCACCTTGACTTCCAGAATGTATTTTCCTATGAAATTTCCATTCAGTGACATTATCAAACTTTATATCACATCTGTGGCACCTGTATGCTTTCTTGTTACAGTTTAATTTCTCTAATTTAGGACTTTTCATTAGCGGTTTGTCTATTTCAATCTCAAACGTAATTTTTTCTTCTTTTTCTATTAATTCGAAAGAGTTATCGTCATAATGGTTTGCGTCACCATTATGAAATTCCATATCTTCTTTTACTTCTTGTTTTATGACTTCATTTTTATCTAATTTAATTGGTATATTACTTTTATTAACATTTACCTTTTTGTACTCTGACACTTCATTGAAAATTAAATCATTTTTAAATTCCTTCTCATTATTTACTATTAGACTTGATTGCAAAGGCTCCTGTACTACTATATCGAAGGTCTCTAATGGTATTTCTTCTTTAATCACTGCGTTTTTAGGTGTTAACGTCTTGTCCAATTCACTTTTGTAGGAGGTAAAAATGTCGTTCAAAATGTTTTCAGATTCGATGCAGCGACGCTTGAACTCATCAGCTTTGAATAGTTTCTCTTTACATTCACTACATACCTGTTTGGGAAGTCTATTGCACATTTTAACATCAATATTTGTCACAAAATTAAGTACCTCCATTATAGTTCGATCATCACATAATTTCATAAATAAAGACGTCATATCAGAAGATTCACTTAAACAGACTCTACAGATATTCATGGCACTCGGTTTTATCTTGTTCGCCATTATATTACATGTATAATTTATTCAAATTTAAATATTTTATGCAAGAAAACAATATAACAATTAGTAAATTCAATGACGCTGCGTGACATTTTAAGATGACAGTTACTACTGTAATATTATAATTTATTCACAATGGTAAAGCCAAAGCAACTAAGCCATACAGCCTGATATTCAGTAGAAAAATTTATTTTGTGTGTTAGCAAGGCAGAATTACCCTTTTTATTAAATCTTTTTCAGAATTCCTTAAAATAGTTATATCTTAAAAGTTTAGAATAATTAATATGTAGAGATACTTTATTTTATAATTTCGTCGTTCGTGTTGTTCTAGATTAAGGATAGTATGGTTGCATTCTTATAGCATTCTAATTTTTTATGTAAAAGAGCTACCATAATAGTGATGTCGAAAATTTGTATTTTTATTATACAACTTATAATGGCAAACAAGTTGACGGCCCACCTGATGGATAGTGGTAATCATCGCCTATAGACATGAGCAGTACCATGGACATAACAGAGTGTACTATTTCACGCATGATACTCCATGCGTTACCTTTCTTGAGGACTCGGGTGTTATTACTCTGTACCCTGTAAATTCACTGCCATATCTCATCCTTCAAACTGAAAAACAGACAATCAAACACAACTGCTTCACGATAGAAACACGAATAGGACAGAGGTGCAAGCAAACCACTTTTTTACAAAGTATCCCTCTGGTGATTGAATAATAACTAACAGAAGCAATATATTGGCTTTTAAAACCAGTTGTACTATTTTTGAACAGTTTGGTGCGTACAAGCGCAACCGTTTCCGAGTATGACGTGTTCATAAATTCATCATGTCATTGCACTTATACTGAAATGAAGTTGGTACATTGTTGTTAATAGAATAAAAAACATTGGAACAGAAAATAAATTCTTTATTTAATTTCAATAATATCCAATTTAATTAGATTAACTTAAGTGATCACCGAATAAAAATTAGTATACATATATATTATATATTTAATTTACGTTACATACTGAAGTAGAGTTACCAGAGTTAAAAATTAACTTGTATTGAGATCGTAAATACATCACATATAGTAAATCGCTATTTAAAATGGTTTAACAGTATTGCCATAAAATTTTCTTACATTGTAATGTTGCCAGGTTCAAAATTGAGCATCGCGGACTGGGTAATGTGAAGGACAAAGAAATTTGTTCGAAAATTAAATTTTCCTCTCGTTTTTAATATAATGTCACTGGCAACGTTTTGACACAAAAACAACATAAAAGAAGGTGTAAGACGCCCTCATATAAAAATGTTTTCTAAAAAGTTACAACTACTGCTTATATATTTACAATACACTGTATGTTTGTATGTTCTGAGGTAATATTTATTATATCTCGTTATTTATCCGTTTGTACTGTATATATTTCATCTTTATATACCCTAATAATATCATATTGTGTCGAATTTATTTTTCCGTATATGTCTAACTTACGTATTTTTCGCATTCTAATGTAAAACTTATATATGTAAATAACTAACATATATCATCATATTTATTTATAATTACATCAACAATGGTTTCTCTTTATTGGCACTGACTGTAATATATAATTATATGACGCCGTTAAATTTTCCTTAATCTTTAAAAAAAAAAAAAAAAATTTTTTTTTAATACCAAACCGCAAAACGACCAAGACACATTGCGTTACGAACATTTATATCACTGGATATAAAAATCTAACGCCATTAAACTAAACAAATATTTTAACCTTTAACATATTTATCTATCTAATATTTTTAATATAAAAATATTATTCCCATGTGAGGTCATTTTGTATGCGGTTTCAATTTTGTAATAATCTCACCAAACGATAAGTAGATAAGTAATAATAAATTATTTGCTAAGCAATTTTACTGTTGATCAGTCAATTTGTAGAAAAATACTGGTTAAAACGTGCAAACTCCTACATTTCCTGCAATATAAAACTATAACTTGCCCATATAATTATATATTTGATAAGACTAGGTTATATTTTTTTTTTGCCACGCGCTGTCAAAAGTACGTTGACCCCCAAAAAATTGGGTATTCATAAATTCTAAAGTCCTCCGACTTGAACTAAGTACTAAAAACATTAAAAATATAACAATATTACAATTTGGCAGTTTTTATTTTATATTAACAAATTATGCGATAAATTATGCGACAGCTGCCATTATAATGTAATACTACAAACATTAATGTCGCTGCTTCGAGCAGTGAAAAAAAATTAATCGGTTAGCATTGAAGTGTTTTAAAAATCGAACATTATGATCTTGTTTAAAAAAATTCTCAGTATTGTCTGTACATCCCTCAATGGCCAACCTTTGTTAAAAAGTTGCTACAACTAAAAAAAAAAATTAACATACAAAATAAGCTATGAAAATAACTTTTTAAAAAAATATTATTATTACAATCACATTTCGAAACCCATTTTGGTACAATACTAATACTTATATTGTTCGCCGCGAACAACTTTGTACCTGTACTCATCAGACCATAGACTAACCCGTCATACTTTTTAAAAGGCAAAGATGATTATCACCGTTCGGTGGTGTAATTTAAAAATATTTCATAGACAAAATTTTTTTTTTTTTAACAATAATTACACAATAACCATGGCACTCTATGACTATTTCGCGCGGTCGGTCAACCGGACAATTTCAATTTAAGACGAATACTGGAAGACGACTTCGTAAAAAAAAAAAACAATAGAAAACAAAAAGATATGTCACAGACAACAACTTTAGGGTCCAGTCGTCCGACGTCGCCGCTACTTACCCTCATTTCAAGCCAGCCTTTTCCAAAAACTCCATTTTCAACTTTAACTCGATGAGAAAGAGTTGTTTTTGCAATGAAAATATTTCCTCCTTCTGTCTCAGCTCCATGTTTAAGATTTTCATTTTGGCCTCGTGCTCCCATATCGCGTGTTGCCGTTTGGCACTGAAATACAACCTCTCCTCCTCTGTTGCCGTTCCGCTGTCGTGTTTAATTTGCTCGTCTTGCTTCTCTTTCGTTCTTTCGTGTCCATTCTTTCGTCTATCGTCGTCCAAGTGGCTTAAATTTAATGGAGTATTAGAAATCTCTGTTAGTTTGTGGATTAGGTTTTGTTGTATGCGCGCTTGTTCTATTGCGTGTAGGGGGTTCGCTAGGACTATGTGCGGGTTAAGGGGGTTGTGCGGTTTGTGGGCGGGGGGCGTGGGGGGTGAATGGGGGATGATTTGCACCTGGGGCTCAAGTACGTTTGGCATCGTGTCGTCGCTGTCGTTCGTGCTTGATAATCGGCCGTTTGACATCTGTAACGGACATTTTAGGTTTTATTTTATACTCAAGCGAGAAGAATAAGCAAGCTGAAGGGGCAATGGGCTGGTTGCATAGTTCGAAGGATCGACAATCGATAGGGAAGAAAGGTTACGTGAATTTTTGCGACCACAATTTCCTACACGGTTGCCCCTTTGCAAAAGCAACATTTTACTTTTTTTTTTATACAACTTAGAATGGCAAACAAGCTGACGGCCCACCTGATGGAAAGTGGTAACCGTCGCCTATAGACATGAGCAGTACCGTAGACATAACAGAGTATACTGTTTCGCCTATGATACCCCCCATGCGTTGCCATTCCTGAGGACTCAGGTGTTATTCCTCTGTACCCAGTAAAGGAGCAGGCTATGCTCGGTGTTTGAATAGTTTATAACACATCTGTCTGATAAAGCTCGCCTCTCAATAATAATATGTCCATGGTACTGCTCGTGTCTATAGGCGACGGTTACCACTTTCCATCAGGTGGGCCGTCAGCTTGTTTGCCATTCTAAGTTGTATAAAAAAAAAACATAGACTAAAATAGAAACTATTTTTTATCGTTATTGCGAAATTTAATTATACCATATATAGTTAGATACTCTTTATTGTTTCCTCCAAAAGATTACAATAGTAAACTTATTATAAATATAAATAATTACAAGAAATGAATCACAATGAGAAAACAATGGGCGACCTTATCGCTAAGAGCGATCTCTTCCAGGCAACCTTTGGATATATATATATATATATATATATATATATATATATATATATATATATATATATATACATTTTATTTGAAAATATTTTTTTTAGTTCAATAAAAAATAGCTAACATTATAAGTGTGTTAGGATGTAATCATAATGGAAAGAGGAATGAAGCATTGCAGGCAATTAAAGTATACTTCATTTAAGTTAATAAATTATTCAAAATAACAAATACATATTAAATTACAATTCTTGATAGCTATATATACATGGATATATATATATATATATACACACACACACACACATACTACTTATTTCTCACTCTCTCTTCGTCCACTTCATTACTCGTGTCCTTGACAGGTGTCTGTTGCCTTAGCCGACATCAAAAAAGGGTTGTCATTTCTATTGAACTTTTTTCTTGTTTGTTACCTCATAACTCTGTTAAGTGTCATACTCACGTTAACCGGTACACAGTCTTCATCTTTAATGCTATGAGGACCTTCCGCGCTGGCAGCCGGCTCCCCATCCTCATCTGCACAATGGAGACAACAGCCTTTGAGATATTTTGCATTAATATAAACAATTTAATTTCACTCTTTCTGTGAGTAAACAAGGCAGATGAAACCTTATCTATGAAATCAGTAGGTCGAATATATCTGAAGAAGGTAGAAGCCCTTAAGAGTTAAAAATTAAAACGTTTGTTGTATGTATGTATACCAAATAGGATGCTTCAGGGGTGACCAAATTTATTTATTATTTTACATAATTATTTGATTATAAAGTATACTAACATTAGGTTTAGGGGGAAAGGGATTGTCAGTAATGGGGGTCTAACTGCGCTATTGCTAACAATACACTCTATCAGGTCGACTTCCACGCGGTTCCCCCTGGAAACCATCGTGGTTAATTCTAGTGCAATTTGTCACGATGGGCCAACTGGCCTGCTTTCATTTTCATCTATCATTCTACACTGGTGCCCCGGGGGGAAAGGGATGGGTTAGCAATGGAGTTTGACAGCCCCATTGCTAGCAATACACCTTATTAGGTGCCTCCACGCGGTTTCAAACCATCGTGAACAATTCCGTTGAATTCGTCACGATGGGCTAACAATCGTCACCTATCATCCCTCACTGGTGCTCCGCCAGCGTATACCATTCCATTATCACTTATTAAATAAAAACATTAGGCTAAGATTTTGTTTCTTAACATTTTTTTTATACAACTTAGAATGGCAAACAAGCTGACGGCCCACCTGATGGAAAGTGGCAACCGTCGCCTATAGACACGAGCAGTACCATGGACATAACAGAGTATACTGTTTCGCCCATGATACCCCCATGCGTTGCCATTCCTGATGACTTAGATATTATTCCTCTGTACCCTGTAAATTCAATGCTTAACAAACTAGGTCACTGTAGCCTGTAATAATTAAGAATTAAAAAAAAAGGCTGTATGCACCTTTGACGTCCAGAGGATGAACGTTCTGCCAGAGCATGCCGTCCAGCAGATTCTGCGGGTCGGGCTGTGGTTGCTGCAACAACAAATGCAATTAATGGTAAACTCAATTTATAATCATTTACTTCACAAATTAATAAATTCTATATCATAATATTTCTAATGTATTCAATATTTGTTGTAACGGAACGTAAAATGAATGAGAAAGAACGAGTGTTTTTTTTTATACAACTTGGAACGGCAAACAAGCTGACGGCCCACCTGATGGAAAGTGGTAACCGTCGCCTATAGACGTGAGCAGTACCATGGACATAACTGTTTCGTCATTCATATCCCCCATGCGTTGCCATTCCTGAGGACTCAGGTGTTATTCCTCTGTACCCTGTAAACTCACGCCATATCACACCCTTCAAACCGAAACACAGCCATGCAAACACAACTGCTTCACGGTTAAAACACGAATGGGACAGAGGTACCCAAGCAAACGACTTTTGTAAAAACTCCCTCTGGTAAGGTAAGGTATATCTAGATAGACAATTTGTTTGCATCACTTAGAGCACATAAATTACAACATATATATACATACATAAAAAGCGAAAAAACATAAATGATTAAAAAAAATACATAAAGCTAAGTACAATTTTTCATTTGAGCGTCTGCCATAGTAACACAAAATGGTTACAACTCAGTTTATTGCTTCGCCCTCAAAAGAGCAAAGCACTGATATTCTGTTGCGGCCAAAGGGAATAGGGTAACAGTAAAACAATACTACCAGATTATCCATACAGTAAGTAGATAGATATGACAGCCTATCTAGCAGACAAATGGAACACAAGGTAACTTGGTGGGATATGGCGTGAATTTACTGGGTACAGAGGAATAACACCCGAGTCCTCAGGAACGGCAACGCATGGGGGGTATCATGGGCGAAACAGTATACTCTGTTATGTCCATGGTACTGTTCATATCTATAGGCGACGGTTACCACTTTCCATCAAGTGGGTCGTAAGCTTGTTTGCCATTCTGAGTTGTTAAAAAAAAATCTATAATCTATATATTGGGATGGGATCTATCTCATCCCTATCGCCTATCATCCCTCACTGGTGCCCCGCCAGCGTATACTGTTAGCGCAGGCGGGGTCACCATTCCATTATCATCTATTAAAAAAAAATGAAATACCTGTACATCGTGAGCGCGCATCTTGCATTTCTTCTTGTAGTTTTCATACCACATCTTGACCTGCGCCGGGGTCCGCGGCCGCTCGCCGCCGCACCGCTTGTTCACCTCCTCGCATATGGTCGACCACACCAGCTGGTGGACAATCACAACATATGTCAACAATAGTCCAACATAGAGGCAGATATAAAAGAGAGAAGGAAGGGTAAAATATAACAAAAAATATATCATATATTTATTTGTAATTCGAATATAATATATTTTGACCGTTCGTAAAATAAGATGTTACAAATTGAAATTAATTGTCGAAATTTATTAAAGCTACAATTCTTAACAATATTATATCTAATCAAACAAACACACACACACACGCACACGTGCACGCGCACACACACTCTTTCTCTCTCATACACACACACATACACACACACGCACACATACACATGCACGCACGCACGCACACACACACGCACACGTGCACGCGCACACACACTCTTTCTCTCTCATACACACACACATACACACACACGCACACACACACATGCACGCACACACACACACACACACGCACACTCACACTCACACTCACTCGCGCACATACACACACACATACATACACACACACACACACACACACACCTGAACATTAATATTAAACCATATTTACTTTTACTCCACGCAACTACCTTTTACTTTTGAATAATCACTACTTTATTGAGAGGGCCTGGTGAGTTTAGTTTTTTTTTTTTGTAATGGATGATATTGGAATGGTTCCCTGGAATGGCGGGGCACCAGTGAGAGATGATAGGTGAGGATAAAAGCAGGTCAGTTGGCACATAGTCACAAATTTAACGAGAAATCAATCACTATGATTTCCACCAGGGGGAGCCGCGTGGAGGTCCACCTGATAGGGTATATTGTTAACAACGGGGTTGCTACTGCTCATTACTAACAATCCCTTCTCCACCCAAACTGGTCAGTTGACACATCGTGATGAGTTCTAAAGAAGTGTCCAGGAAGCCATGCGGAGGCCGACCTGGTAGCTATTGCTAGCCATAGAGCTGGTTTGAGCCCGTTGCTAACAACCGCTTTCCCCTCTAAATAATAAAAGCACTATGCTAATCCGCCAGCGTGGCCAAACGTAATATACTATACTTATCTTATGGGGAGTCCAGTCCCCACTAGTAGGATGGTAATGTCGATATATAACAGATTAAAATAACTCACATAATTATATAATTGGCTCTGTGAATCCATCAGTACAACGAAAAAGCAACTAGTCTTCAATTCTCTAATGTACGTGTCATGAATTTGAATCATGGCAAAGATCAGTAAAGGAAATAAGAACAGAAAGCTAATAACAGACAAGGTAATAAACTATTGTCACATATTTTTTACCACCTCTGCCCTTACATACGCTTTCTGTTTTCACCTAATGTGTAGCTGGTAGAGAATGCCATATGGCATTAAGCTCGCCATTTGTACAAAGTTTTATTGTGTAACAAGGAATAAATAATTACTGCTCTCCATCCAAAGGTTGGCTGGAAGAGATCGCTCTTAGCGATAAGGTCGCCCATTGTTTTCTCACTGTGATTATTTCTTGTAATTGTTTGTATCTATTATAAGTTTACTATTGTAGTCTTATGGAGGAAACAATAAAGAGTATCTATCTATATATCTATTTGAACAATCAGTCACCTGAACTTCACTAAGCTTTAAAGCCGACGCAATTTGGGATCTCTCTGTGAGGCTCTATCAATCTAAATAAATAAATTGTTGGAGAATGCTCGATTTATATGTTTATTATTGGACTGGATTGGTATTTATATGTTTATTGTTGTCTCACAGAGACACACAATATAGGCATTAACCAATACAGTTTTTTTATACGGTCTGCACTTTTAATCTTTCCTTGCACGAGTCGTGCAAAGAATGCGATCAGCATTTATTCAGGCTAGGTAGTTTTATATTACAGAGATCGTGTCATAGTGTGCGTAGAGGTGTCAAATTATGTTTAGATACATACTAACTGCGCAGTTATAATTAATAAGGTTGTGTCCCACAAAAAAAAAACCAAATTCAATTGTGGTAATACCAGTTATTTTTATTTTAAAACTAAACTACTAAATCTAAGTATATATAATTTTTTAAATGAGGAAAAATAATTTTCTAAATCGATTTACTATTGACGAAGTTATGACGTAACACACATAAAAAGGGGAGAGGGGGATTGTTAGTAATGGGGGTCAAACTGACCCATTGCTAGCAGACACCCTATCAGGTCTTTCTTTTTAATTTTTAATTTAGAATGGCAAACAAGCTGACAGCCCACCTAATGGAAAGTGGTAACAGTCGCCTATAAACATGAGCAGTACCATGGACATAACAGAGTGTACTGTTTCGCCCATGTACCTCCATGCCGTTTCCCCTTTAAACTATCGTGGTTAATCAAATCTGCCCCATTCGTGTTTCTACCGTGAAGCAGTTGTGTTTGCATGGCTGTGTTTCGGCTTGAGGGGTGGGATATGACAGTGAATTTACAGGGTACAGAGGAATAACACCTGTTATGTCCATGGTACTGCTCGTGTCTATAGGCGACGGTTACCACTTTCCATCAGGTGGGTCAGCTTGTTTGCCATTGTAAGTAGTAAAAAAAAAAGACTTTATACAGTGTCTCCCTCTAGTAGGCTTTACAATATGGAACAAAAAGTAAATTAACGCATGATAACATAATATATAATCCTTGTATATATGTTACGCGATAACTCGACGTACGCAAGAAGGTCGTATTGTGACCACGAATTATCTACTTGACTATATTTTAACCATTGAGTTTGACCATTTTAGGGTTCCGCAATTACCAAGCGACTACAGAAATAATAATAATAATTCTAATTTAATTATTATTTGCCCAAAAATACGGTATACAGATGCTGGTAACAAAATGCTATGGACATTTTCATTTTGCCAAAATAATGGCATGCAAAATTTCAGTATTTATAGTAATATATACTTATGCTTTAATTCCTTCTACCCAAAGGTTGTCTGGAAGAGATTGCTTAGCAATAAGACCGCCTTTTGTACTACACTATACGTATTAAAAATTGTTTAACAAATCATGTTATGTTGGTGCAATAAAGTGTTAAATAAATAAAAAAAAATTTTAAATACTAATGATAAAGTATCAAACTATGTATCACTAGATAGTATAAAACAAATTCGCTTCCCGTCTGTCTGTCCGTATTTAACTTAGATCTTTAAAACTACGCAACGGATTTTGATGCGGCTTTTCTTAATAGATAGAGTGATTCAAGAGTGATACATGCATAATATTGTAGAGAAACACTGATATATTTAGAGGTTTCTAATGTGATGTGATGTAATGCGTCCGTGCGAAGCCGGGGCGGGTCGCTAGTGTATTTATAAAGTGGACTAGAAATACAAGAAAGACGGAGACTCTCAATTCGATTGTTTTTTTTTTAAAAGTAAAGTATAGTAAGTAAGTAAAAGTAAAGTAAGTAACAAATACTTTCATAACTCTGTTAGTTGTAAACCGATTTGGAAGATTCATTTTCTATCTGAAAGGATATACTTATCTATAAGTATATCCAATCTATTGGTCACGTAGAAACTTTATCAAAATACACTAGAGGAAAAATTAAAGGAAACAAAAAAAAAAAACAAATTTTTTTAAGGTTTTTCAAGTAGTTGTATTTCCTTTAAAAATGGTCGTGTTGGAATTAAAAATAAAGAATTTTAAAGCTCAAGTTTCAAGTTTTGAGATCTTATCTTAATTTAAAAGAACAATATTTGCCTTTTTGCAATATTTTCCATGATTTTTGAACTTAAGCTGAATTAAAAAATTAATTAAATTTAATATAAAGGAATAATAATAATTTTCTTGTGCGACCAGCGGTTACTGAGATATTGATGGTTAAAGACAAAAAGATCCTTTTCCATTCAAAGTTCGATATCTCAGCGAGAAGTGGTCGTATCGAACTTTGCAAAAAAGCAAATTAAAACTTAATGAACATGCTGCCCGATCCATATAGTGGTTAAGTTAGAAAAATCTTTTCCAAGTTCGTAGACCAAAAAAAAAAAAATCCGAAAAATTTTGAAAAAAAAAAAAATTGTTTCGGTATTCACGAGGATTGAACGGAACACGTTGTTTAAAAATTTTTTTCATCCTAAGATCTTAAAACTAGAAACATTAAGCTTTAAAATGTTTCCTTTTAAATTCCAGTACGACCATTTTTAAAGGAAATACAGCTACTTGAAAAACCTCAAAAAATTTAGCATTTTTTTGGTCCCTTAATTTTTAAGGCTATACACTAGAGGACTAGTGTATATCCTTAAAAATTTTTAAATCGGTTCACAACTGACGGAGTTATGAGGTGACAAACATGAAAAAAAAAATTACCGACAAAAAAATTCTTCTTTTGAAGTCATTTGAAAATAATGCTTGTCACAATTACAGACACAACCTGTGTAGTTGCGAATTAGCGCGGGAAAATAGAGTTTAGGTGCTGACGCGTGATTGCGAGGGGGTGAGGTCAGACCACAGCGGGCGGCGGGGAGTGTCCGTACTTTAGTACTTTTTTTTTAGCGAGCGAGAATGGAATGGTAACACCGCCTGCGTTATCGGTATACGCTGGCGGGGCACCAGTGAAGGATAATAGGTGACAAAGAAAGCAGGCCAGTTAGAGCATCGTGATGAAATCCACTAAATTTAACCACGATGGTTTCCAGGGGGAACCGCGTGGAGGTCGACCTGATAGGGTTAATTGCTAGCAATGGGGCTAATGAACTGCATTACAAAATAATCCTTTTCCCCCTGTACTTTAGTATTATTATACCGTGGTAGCAGTAAGGATTTTTTAATAATTCAATAAAAATACCTATTGAATACTGATGTATATCCCCGTGTCTTTTTTTTTTGATGGGTGAAAATGGTATGGTAACCCCGCCTGCACTAACGGGATACGCTGCCGGAGCACCAGTGAAGTGTGATAGATGAGAATGAAAACGGGCCAGTTAGCCCATCATGATGAATTCATCAGGAATTAACCATGATAGTTTCCAGGGGGAACCGCGAGGAGGTCGACCTGGTTGGGTATATTGCTAGCAATGGGATTCTCAGTCTCCATTACTAATAACCCCTTTCCCCCCTATATCACCGTGTCGTCCCGGCATAGAATAGGCCACCCCTGCCTTTCCCGTGGGTGTCTTAAGAGCCGACTAAGGGAGGGCAAGGGACGGGCAGCAGCGTCCCTCTTAAAACATTTCTAAAGCCTAACTGCGGTTGTGAATCCGCCAGCCAAGCGTGGCAACTACTGGCGAAAACCCCCTAAGGGGGAGGCTTATGTCCAGCAGTGGACAGTTAAAGGCCGACATGATGACGATGATTGAGCAATGACAGAAGTTTGGAGTTTGTATGACTGTGAATAACCAATCCTGACTTATTGAACAAAGCCTGTTACACACTAAACGATTACTTGAATGATAAACGTGCATGGTGTTAGTCGATCATGCATGCATGCATTGGTTTTTAACTCGGGCTGCCATCTGTCCGGATTTACCCGGATTTGTCCCAGTTTGAAGGGCGTCCGGGGGCCATCCGGCAGGGATTTTTGAAAAGTGTCACGGACACTTTTGTTATATAGTTAGATACTCTTTATTGTTTCCTCCAAAAGATTACAACAGTAAACTTATTATAGATATAAATAATTACTAGAATTAATCACAGTGAGAAAACAATGGGCGACCTTATCGCTAAGAGCGACCTCTTCCAGCCAACCTTTGGATGGAGAGGAGTAATTATTTATTCTTTATTGTACAATAAAACTTTGTACAAGTGGCGAGCTTAATGCCATATGGCATTCTCTACCAGCTACACATTAGGTGAAAACGGAAAGCGTATGAAGGGGAGAGATGGTGAAAAATATGTGACATAATTGTATAACATACTGAAATAATTATACATAATAATACATAATAATTACACATATAATACATAAACATATTTATTATTAGTATTTGGTATAACATAGTACCATGGACATAACAGAGTATACTGTTTGGCCAATGTAACCCCCAATGCTTTGCCATTCCTGAGGACTCAGGTGTTATACCTCTGTACTCAGTAAATTCACGCCATATTCCACCCTTCAAACCGAAACACAACCATGCACACACAACTGCTTCACGGTTGAAACACACATGGGACAGAGGTAGCCAAGCAATCGACTTTTGTACAGTCTCCCTCTGGTGATCACATGTATCTATGTAAATAAATTATTCCATAGGAAAAAGGTTGTTTGCTGAAAGCCTTCCTGTATTGTAATATAACATCAAATAAAATCATAATACACGGAACCCATCGCGTGTAAACAAGTTCGCCCTCACAAACGTTTATCAATTAATTTACGCTCACATAATCTGTGTATCTGTACATATTAATGATAGCACAGTAATCACATAGCGTTTCCTATAACTAATTAAATAAGGAATTCCTTTGTTTCTCTCTATCTTTAGATTAAGTAATCGAATTATTTAAATAAACAATAACCTACTTTTTAATTTTATACTAGAAAGAGACTTTGTATCGACGTTTGTAACAGGCATCGGTTTTATTTTATATTATTATTAGTATTGAAAGATTTTTATTTTATTTTTATACATTAAAAATAATTAATTAAATTAATTTAAAGTTATAATAAATGTATTTAACCCGACTCTTGATATTTGTGAGCCGCTTCTAATATCTTTGGCAGGCTGCTACTAAATATATCAATGATGGTTATAATATTATTTAATAATTCAATATATATATATATATATATATATATATATATATATATATATATATATATATATATATATATATATAAAGCCTTTATTCAGACATTTTTTTTTTAAAAAAACAACCAACTGTCTCCAATTCTTGTCCAAATACCCCCTGCTTCAGCCCTAATGTCATCTACCCATCTTCAATGTGGTCTTCCTCTTCTCCTTTTTTTGTCTTTCGTGTACCAAAACATTATCTTTTTACTCCATTTATCTCTCCCTCTTATTGTATGCCCTGCCCATTTCCATTTAAATTTTTTAACTGTGACTGTAACATCTTTTGTTTTTATGTGTTTTTTAATTGTGCTAGTTTTAATTCTGTCTGATAATCTTAAGATATATATATATATATATATATATATATATATATATATATATATATATATATATATATATATATATATATATATATATATATAGAATAAGTCATCCGTTCTTTTCCCGTGGATGTCGTAAGAGGCGACTGAGGGAGGACGAGAATGGACAGCAGCGTCCTTTTTAACACATCTTCAAAGACTAACTGCGATGGCCAATCCGCCTGCCGAGTGTGGCAACTACTGGCAAAACCCCTAAGGGGGGGCTTTATGTTCAGCAGTGGACAGTTAACAGTTGGTACGATGATGATGATGCTAGTATTGCAATTTTTTTTTTGATGGATGAAAATGGTATGGTAACCTCGCCTGCGCTAACGGGATACGCTGGCGGAGCACCAGTGAAGGGTGATAGATGAGAATGAAAGCAGGCCAGTTAGCCCATCATGATGAATTTATCAGGAATTAACCATGATAGTTTCCAGGGGGAACCGCGAGGAGGTCGACCTGGTTGGGTATATTCATCAATTCAATTATTTTCACTACATAAGGTACGTTGTCGTATTGAAAATAATTGTGTTCCATAAGTAAAAACCGACTTCAATTGTGGTCAAACCAGTTATTTTGATTTAAAAACTAAACCATTTGTTTTGGTTTTGTTAAAATTTCTACGGAACCAATCTGTAAGTATATCCTTTCAGATAAAAAAAGAATTTTCTAAATCGGTTTACAACTGACAGAGTTATGAGGTGACAAACATACAAAAACTGTATTCGAATTGAGAACCAACTTCTTTTCGAAGTCGCTCGAAAAAGAACAAACGTTCTTTTGAGTTTTATCAAAAAGCACGATGAGATCACCAAATTTAAGAAAAGGAAGAGAAACGATATCAAAGCCAGTGTTGTCAAATTAAATATTTTTCCTCAATTCTGGGTTAAAATTTTTCTTATTTGGGAAACTTCAAAGAAATAAAATTTTTGGAGACAAATGACAGGGGTTTGGAGATTTTTGAATGATTTTTTCGAAATTTCGGGTAATAGTTTTAATACTTGTAGGTATATAAGGTGTAAAATTACAGTAAATATATGACTGAAGATACATAACAGAAATAAAAGGAGAGGAAAAAGTAGAAACAGAAGGAATTACCTTATTTTTCGTCGTTCATTTTATGGCAAATGCCAAAAACGTAGTCAAAAACGATACAACTTTGTAATAGCGTAAAAATCCTAAGAATCATATCGATTCGGAGAAAAAATATTTGAGGTTTGCGTAAAAACCAAAACTTAGATATGGCCATCCTGGATACTGTACTGTCACTCTGTCGTACATATCGTTTGTCATTCCCTCTGGAGATGACCGGAAAAGTACTCGCTTACTCCGGTTAGTGACGCTGTTGAGCTCACACAGAGATGACTAGAAATTTCACACGCAGTAGTACCTGCTTGCTCCGGTTGGTGGCGTTGTTGGAGCGACCCTGGCGGAGCACGTCGCGGTGCCTGGCGATCAGCTCCAGCACCGTCCGCTTCTCCAGCTCGGTGAAGTTCTTGGAGCGCTCCTTGTGACCGCGCCGGGCCCGGAGCGCGCTAGCGCCGCTGCGGGTTGACATGTCAGTCTGCAATCGAAATTATATTTGTCACATTTTTACCCTGCCTTTAGAGATTATATTGATTTAGCCCCATAACAAGTTTATTTTGCTCTACAACCAATATTTTTAAGACACTCGTGTTTCTATTTTCACAACAAAGTATTTTTTATATCACGAAAGTGGTTAAGAAGCGTACAGATCGTCTATTGGTAAACGGTCACTGTAGACTATGGACGCCTGCAACATTTGGGGTGTCACGTACGCGTTGCCAACCCTGAAGAAACCTTTTTGAAGAACCCCATACTGCAGTCTTTAGGGAAAACCTCGGCAGGGAGTTCATTCCACAGCCTGAGCGTTCACGGTAGAAAATTCCTTTGAAACCGCACTGTCTTTATGTCCTATACATTCCCCACAAATTTATGTTCTACAAGTTTTACTTTTGCGCCACTATCAAGTACTTTCCGTTCCATAAATATATTGGGCATATTTTTGCCCAACAAACAAGTACATTTTGTATAAAAAACCATATATTATTGTTTACATTTTGTTGACCAAAGTAGCTTTTTTTTTGAAGAACAAAACACGCGATTTCGCGTTGATGATCATAAATATTTTTAATCTAGTGTTTTAATATTTGAATTTAAACGTAACAACATTTTGCTGTAATAAAAGGAAATTGCTAGTAATGGGGAGTTTAGTCCCCATTACTATTAATTCCGTTCAGGATTCCACGCGGAATGACTTAATAATCGTGACAAATTTTTTTTATCATTGCATTCGTCACAATGGCAAACAAGCTGACCTTTCTTTTCATCCTCACCTATCACCGCTCACTGGTACCCCGCTAGTGTATACCGATAGCGCAAGCGAGGTAACCATGCCATTTTCACGCATAAAAAAAATATATATATACCCTATCAGGTCGACCTCCATGTGGTCCCCCCTGGAAACTATCGTGCTGAATTCCAGGTGTTTTCATCATGATGGACTAACTGACCTGCCCTTTCATCCTCACTTATCCCCTCACGGGTGCCCCGCCGGCGTATACCGTTAGCGCAGGCGGGATTGTTGTGTATCATCCATATGTGCTGTATAACGGGGGAAGGGTTGAGATATAGGACAAGTGAATTTACATTGCTACAATATAACAACCAGGTCGACCTACTCGCGGTTCTCCCTGGAAACTATCATGATTAATTCCTGATGAATTCATCATGATGGGCTAACTGGCCTGTTTCCATTCCCATCTATCACCCTACCCTTTGGTGCTCCGCCAGCGTATCCCGTTAGCGCAGGCGGAGTTACCATACCATTTTCACCCATCAAAAAAAAAAATATCATACATTGAAAAAAAAACATCATAAAACTTTGCTGAATTTTGACACGACTTTTTTTACAGAGGAAAATGTTTTTGTAATATGACTTTAAGTACTAGAAGTAATAAACATTGAGAATCTTCGTCTTTTTGATGTCTCTTAAAAAAAAAAAGTTTTATAAATATATAATTAACTGCTATGTTATACTAAAAATTATATACGATTACTATAAACAGCATATAAGATCAAGAAATAATAATTTTAAAGTAGACGAGATAAAATTGAAATTTTAACTAGAGATCGGGCCTTGAATGAACCAGTATTTAATGGCTGTAATACAAATCACATTATTTATGATCAAATTGAGTACAAACTCGTTTTGTTGCGAGTAGAAGAAACATTTCTTCCTGTGTGTTGTGAAATAAAAATTAAATTCCAGCAGTGTTGCCAGGTATAAAACAAAAATCCAGATATATTTATTAATTCAGCCAAATATGTCCATTAATTTAGCCGGATATGTCCATTATCCCACTTATCAAGCTATTTCTCTGCTCAATTCTCTGATTGCTCAGCAGCCAGATATTGATATATTTAATGACAAAATAAATATATTTTTAAAATGTTGTTTACAAAATTTGTAAGTTTGTAAAATTAAACTATGGCTCACTACACGTTTTGGGAAACTGTAAGTGTGGTGAGTAATTTTCAAATAAATAAATAAATAAAATAAAATTAGTTTAGCCGGATATGTCCATTAGTTTAGCCGGATATGTCCATTAGTTTAGCTGGATATGTCTATTAGTTATGCCGGATATGTCCATTAGTTTAGCCGGATATGCCCATCAGTTAAGGCAGATATGCCCAACAGTTTAGCCGGATATGCTCAAGAGTTTAGCCGGATATGCCCATCAGTTAAGGCAGATATGCCTAACAGTTTAGCCGGATATGTCCATTAGTTTAGCCGGATATGTCCATCAGTTTAGCTGGATCAACATCTTCCTACCCTTATCCCAATCATTATTTAGGGTCGGCTTAATATTTTTTTATCCATATTACAAAAAGATTCAGTCTTATAGTTTTACGAATAATAAATATGTCTATATAAATAAAAATCACTTGCTGAATGTATGTAAACAAATCACTTGAGAACGGCTTAACATATTTTTTCATCTTTCATAATTCTTTTATTCTTTGCTGTGTTTCTAATCGTTAGAATAAGCTTTGTATGAAAGAAAATGTTTGAAAAGTACAACAGAACGGTCATCACCCATTTCGACATGATCACCTTATCAATTAATTACAACAATAGTAGCTAATCATCTTTTATATTTTACTTTATATTTTATTCATTTATATATATATATATATATATATATATATATATATATATATATATATATATATATATATATATATATATATATATTACTTATTCTATATAGATATACATTAGTTTACATTCTACTAGTTGTTATTCTCTTTACCTATACCAATAATGAAGCCTCGCGTTCGTGATTCACTGTTCACCCCAAAGGTTGACTGGTAGAGGACGCTACTAGTATTAAGTCCGCCTTTTGTACCATAGTTTATTTTGGTCAATAAAGTTAATTAAATGAATATCGCCGGTACCGGTAGGATATTTATATTAATTTACGATTACCACTTTCCATGAGGTGGGCCGGCAGCTTGTTTGCCATTCTAAGTTGTATAAAAAAATTCGATCGGTTCTATATATATATATAATAGAAATTTTACGAAAATAAATAATGTCAATTTAAATTCATATATATATATACCATATATTGCCTACTGCATCTACTCCTAATACCACTGTGTTTGGTTGACTGGAAGAAATCTCTTTTAGAAATAAACACATCTTTGCTTACATAGTTCCTAATTGTTACTATTACTGTATGTTTAAATGCAATCAATCTTTAATGTATTTTACGATATTGTTGTGGTATTATTTATATGAAGACAACAGTTACAATTTGCCATCAAAGATTCTAGATTTTTTTACCAACTTCAAAAAGTAGGTTTCTCGATTCGGTTGTATTTTTTTTTTTACCTCATAACACAGAAAGGATATATACTACTTAGAACACAGGGGGCAAACGAGCATGCGGCTCACCTGATGGTAAGTGACTACCGTCGCCCATGGTCACCCACAACACCTACGGCATTGCAGGTGTGCTGCCGGCCTTTTGACTGATCCCATAGAAATTTTATCAAAATCGATTCAATAATTTAGTTTATTTTTTTATTTAAAAACTGTATAACAGATTTTGCCGGTAATTTTTTGATCGGGGATTGAAGTCGGTTTTTTTTTTGTAAAATACAATTTAATTATTTTATCATAATATAGGTATAATTGTTGGCTGATAAAAATTTTCTATCGTGTTCTAACCGGACTAAACCGGGGGGAAAGGGAATGTTAGTAGTAGAGACTTAGAATCCCATTGCCAGCAATATACCCAACCAGGTCGACCTCCGCGCGGTTCCCCCTGGAAACTATCATGGTTAATTCCTGATGAATTCACCATGATGGGCTAACCGGCCTGTTTTCATTCTCATCTATCACCCCTTCACTGGTGGGGCCAGCGTATCCCGTTAGCGCAGGCGGGGTTACCATACCATTTTCAACCATCAATAAACCGGACCGAAATAATAACATAAAGAGAAAAATTTATTTGAAGGAAAATTTATTATTTTAAATCTCACGTAAGGAAGAAGGAGGATATTGGTAAAACGCCCCCTTCCCCTCCCTCAAACACAACCATCGAAAGCGCCTCAAATAGTGACTGTTTCATTATTAACATAAATCGTGTGAAAGTCGAAAACACCTAAACCAATGACTGTCATTAGCAAACGTCCACGATGGGAGAAGCTCACGTATCTAATAGCGGAAGCTCTACCTTCCGTCGACATCAGCGCAAACACATATGATGAGAAATTAGCGATCATCACCGCATATGTTAACATATCATACCACTGCGAACCAATGAAAATAGGGGAAAAAAAAAAAATCAATGACTGTTTCGTCAGTCCGTCACTTTAGTTACCACACCAAATTGTTGTCTTATCTAAAACTGAGAAATCAATGCGGATATGAATGTACTACATTCGTATATACCTATCTGTTTTAGAGGTGGGTCATGTATTTTTTTTTTATACAACTTAGAATGGCAAACAAGCGGCGGCCCACCTGATGGAAAGTGGTAACCTCCTCATGCGTTGCCATTCCTGAGGACTCAGCTGTTACTCCTCTGTACCCAGTAAATTCACGCCATATCCCACCCTTCAAACCGAAACACAGCCATGTAAACACAACTGCTTCACGGTTGAAGCACGAATGGTACAGAGGTACCCAAGCAATCGACTTTTGTACAAAGTCTACTTCTGGAAGACAATATATATATATATATATATATATATATATATATATATATATATATATATATATATATATATATATATATATATATATATATATATATATATATATATATATATATATATAATAAGAGAGATTTATTCCAGTCAACCAAACAGTAGTATAGGGAGTAATGAGTGGGCAGCAGTAGTGCAAAACAGAAATCTATTGGGAGATTACGCCAGTGGTTCCACGGTTGGCAGTATTTATTATGATATAGGTAAGGATGAAGTAGGTCAGTTGTGACAAATTTTATTTTTTATATTTCATTATAAACT